TGTTGTTTGGTGAAAACAGCTTTGAACTTGCATGCATACTTGGGCTCTGGATATTGCTTTTCAAAGAGTGACTTGAATTGAAATTTTTCATACTCCCTCCAGAAACTCATTTCTTTCTCATCTCAGTAACTGGCTCCACCATCCAACTATTCAGTTGTATAAGCCAAACCTACCAATTCACTTAAGAGTTTTCCCTCTTCCTTTACCCACCAAGTCCATTGGTTCTACCTCTAAAATAAATCTCAAATCCAGTCACTCCAACTCCACTCCCACTGCCCTAGCTCTATTTCCATCCTGTCCCCTTCCAATCTATGTTTGCTTAGCAGCAAGAATATTAAAAAATGCACTACATCAAAAATACAGCATAGGGACTACAGATCCTCTATAATAAAACCCTGGTGTTCAAATCAACCAAATGGTAGAAAGACGGGTAGAATGACCCAGTAGCTGTGCTAAACACTGACCACCAGGGGACAGATCCTGCATTGAGCGACTGCTTCCTGGTGGTCAGTGTGCTCCCACAGGGGAGCACCGCTCAGCCAGAAGCTGGGCTCATGGACGGCAAGTGCAGTGGTGGTGGCGGCAGGATGGGGCAGTAAGGAGCGAGGGATCCCTGACTGCAAGAGGCCAGGCTGAGGGATCTCACCAGTGCACGATCGGTGCCTTGGAAGGACTGTGGGAGGACCGGCCAGTCTTGTCCAGTCCTGATCAGCAAGACCCCAGCAGCAAGCTAACCTACTGGTCAGAGCACCTGTCCCCTGGTGGTCAGTGCAACTGGTCAAACGGTTGTACAAATGCTCTGACACTTGGCATATTAGGCTTTTATTATATAGGATTTTACCCTAGAGTATAAGAAAAATATATATCCTGCTTCTTCCTTTTCTCTCATCTCAATTACTTACTAACAAGACCAAAAGCCCTAAGGAGGGCAGGGACTGTTCTGTATGGTTCACAACTATAACCCAGGTGCCAGGCATGGCAGGCATTCATAAATATTTGTTGAATAAATACAACCCATTCAGTCTTGATAGGGATCTTTTCTCAAATGTCCCCTCTAATATCTCCAATCTCTCTCCACTGGCCCCTTCTCATTTTCACACATTTATAAGCCTCCCCATTTAGAACACAACTCACTTGATACTGCTGTCTTTTAAAATGTCCTGGTTCTCCAATTCCTTTGAATAAGTGGCTGACTTTTACTAGCCTCATTTAGTACCATTCAGTCCTCTTCAGCCCTTTGCAATTTGGTATCAGTTCCATCAACTAGAGAGATAAGTGAACCACAGTTAAGGAGGCCTCCTTCTAAGCCAAATGCTATCATCCTTTCCCAGACCCTGCCTTCTCAATGTCCTATTATGGACAATGCTGACAACCACTTTCTCTCACTAAATAAAAGGTGCCACTTCTGCTTTCAAGGGGCTGAACATGCTGTGGGCAAATTCAAGGGATTGACTCCGTCACTCTTTTCTCCACACTCATTTCCTTTAAGAGTTTTTCTTTTTCTCTTAATATAAATTGTCAACTCTTATTGATGAGGCTAAATAAATCACAAGTGAGTTGATTTCATTTTAAATACAGAATCTAAAGCCTTGAATTAGCATTCCAAACAGTCCAGAGGCAGAAAAGCCTAACATCACTGGTGGCTTTATGAATTGTTTGTATGCTCTCAGCATTCTTTAAAACAATTAAAAAAATTTTTTTTCTTTAATAATTTTTTTCAATTACAGTTGATGCACAATCTAAGTTTTTTTGTTTGTTTGTTTTTAAATATATTTTATTGATGTTTTACAGAGAGGAAGAGAGAGGGATAGAGAGTTAGAAACATCGATGAGAAAGCATTATCGATCAGCTGCCTCTTGCACATCCCCTACTGGGGATGTGCCTGCAACCAAGGTACATGCTCTTGACCAGAATCGAACCCGGGACCTTTCAGTCCGCAGGTCAACGCTCTATCCACTGAGCCAAAACTATTTCGGCTAACCTAAGTTTGTTTGTTTTTCAATTACAGTTTACATTCAATATTGTTTTGTATTAGTTTTAGGTGTACAGTATAGTGGTCAGTCAATCATGTACTTCACAAAGTGTTCCTTCTGATATTTCCAGTACTCATCTGGCACCATTGCTCTCTGCATTCTGATCTCTGACTTTTGAATCTGACTGTTTTAGCTCTGACCTTGTTTTGGTGCCTCGTCTCAGACCACTATTTATATTTTCTTTTTGTTACTGAAATGATTATGTCATATTATTGCCTAACAGTTTTAGTGCTTGTTTTTAATGTCTTAAGATTAGACACCTACTAAAGTCTTAAGACTTTCAGTTCAGAACAAACTCTTCAACCTGGCACTCTTCCATTGGCACTCATAAATACTGCAGATTCTCTCTTGACCATTAAATTTTTTTTATTTTTTACTGATCTGATAGAGAGGGAGAGGAACATCAATTTGTTGTTTCACTTATTTATGCATTCATTGGTTGATCCTTGTATGTACCCTGACCAGGGATCAAACTCACAACTTGGGTGTATTGGGATGACGCTCAACCAGCTGAACTACCCGGCTAGGGCCTTTTTTTTTTTTCAATGTACCTCCTCAGGGCCACCATGTTGCACAACTCTAACCAGAATCATCATTCACGTTGTACTCTGCTAATGGCTTCCCATACTGGAACTTACTAAGATTTACGTTTTACGTTCTTTCATTTCAATTCACTACTGCCATTCTTTCTCTACAGTTGTGATTTCTAAATGCCCACTGTTGTCAGGGACCCACCCCAATTTTTAGAATCAGGCCTGGCCAGAAATTAGAGATGTAATAGCTCTAGGACTTAGTACCAATTTACTACTATAATAGATCCAGTGTTATCGCTTTGTTCTTCCGTTCTACTAAATGAGCTTATTTCCAAGACCGGCATGCTAGCTCTGGTTGGTACCTTGCTTACTGAAATGCCTGCCAAATGCCATGTACCTGGAATACTACTGACATGCTGGACTAGACCTACAACTGGTTCTGTCAAATCTGGTGCCAGCTGCATCTCAACAGAAAGGTCTCCCCCACTTATGCTGTCTACCATGCTACCAATAGCTATATCAAATTGAAAGGATATTTAGCCTATTTTATTTTATTTATAAAATATATTTTTATTGATTTTAGAGAGGAGGGGAGAGGGAGGGAGAGATAGAAACATCAATGATGAGAATCACTGATCAGCTGCCTCCTGCATGACCCACACTGGGGATAGAGCCCACAATCTGGGCATGTGCCTGACTGGGAATCAAACTGTGACCTCCTGGTTCATAGGTTGATACTAAACCAGAGCCAGGTTGGTTGGGCTATTTAGCCTATTTTAAAACATGATACCCCAATCAGAAAAGCAGTATATAAATGTTTTCTGATAGTGAGTATCAACTCTCTTGTTAAAGCTACTATTCTTAATAAAAGTGATTTAGTCACATTTCTAAAACATGACTTTCTAAACATCTTTACCATACTGGGTACTTTATCTTCTATTGGTTGACACAAAATATATGCTGGCCCTACAATATGAACTGCTCTGAATCATAATAAAGTAAAATTTGGTAAAAAGAAATAACAAGAAGAATTATATCAAATATGATCCCTAGCAACTATAATAACAAATTATTGCAAAAGTGACTGATATAGTGGATTACCTGCCCAAGTTATTTGTTCACATGCCAAGAAGCAACTTCTTTACCATAAAAGTGTTTCCACATTTTCTTTACTCTAGAGAGAAATCTCAGTTGCATTTACTCATCAATTCATCACCTCATCAAATTCTGCAAAAAGAAAAATCTACAAAGTATATGTGAATTTACAACTATAAAAACAAACAAACAATGAAGGACCCTTATTTTGTTCTTGGAAAACTTTATTTCGGTATAAACAAAAAAGGCAAATGTTACTTATATCATCCAGGGATAAGTGAGAGTCTGGCCATCCTTCTTAGCTGCAAACTGGCAGACTCTAAGTGAGAGATGTGATCTAGGTAAAAGACACTTATTAATCCAGATTACATCCAACTCCCAAAGAGATCACGAAAATTAGTCCATAAAATCAGAAACAGATTTACATGAGGTCACATCAGAAAAGCAGAGAAAGTGATGGCTAATGCCTTGGAAATTTTCATTTCCACATTAATACTCAAAATACATTCTAAGAGATCAGGAACAGGTAGTTTATACTACAAGTATTAACAAATGATATGCACTTTCATCAGTTTCATGTGATTAGGATTCAAGATGTTACTTAAAATCTAGATGTAAGCTCAAACACTTAAGTCGTTGCCCAAAATGGAAAATTTAAATTTCTTTACAGGAAACATAAAAATATGATTATTTGGATCTTGTCTTAATTTACAATTGATACGTCTAGTTTTAATATTTACCTCTCCCCCCTCCCCCACCAAAAGAAAAAGAACATGTTACACACCTGAAAAGGATTCCAAATAGAATGTTCCCATTAAGAATAGCAACTATGAAATCTAATTCAGTCTACAGATTTTATTTCTGATCAAATAATAAACTTCCAGTTAATTCTTTGAGTCTGCCTTCTGTTAACATGTACAATTTGTCAGGTAACCACATCAATGATTTCAAAGCTCTCCTTCCACTGTATTTCCTCCGACCAACTAAGATGTAGCTAGAAATATTAATAGTAAGACAACTCAAAATAGCTATAGTGGCCTTTAATAGTTTTGTTTTACTGATGAGCTGGCCTTATTCCAGTGAAATTATCAAATTATCCAAGTCTTTTGATTTCAGAATTACTTATAACAATATAATCATATACAGAAATCTCGATCAATAATCTTTCTAAATAAACTATTTACAAATGCAAAATATGCAATATTGTTTAAAATAAATATACAATATAGAGTTTCTACATTCTCAGGCAGCTTAAAAATGAGGTAATAAAAACTTAACTGATTAAACCTTTTACCATTCTGAAAATGGCTTAGGAAAATGATAATGAAACTTTTTCCCCCTTAGGTCTTTTCATGGTTTCTTTGTATGCTTCTGAATACTTCCTTTTCTATGCTGAAAAACTGTGTAAAAAATTCTTAAGCTTTGTTGGATAATCTGTCATCACCCCAGTCGCTCCCAAGTCAAAAGCTCTTTTGTATTCTTGTTCTTCATTTAATACCCAAATATATACCTGAAAGTTAGAAGCATGGGAGAAGTATGAGAACAAATGTTAACATAGAAAATTATTTTAAAAAGAAAATTATTTTTATAATAGCATTTATCTGCAATTTTAAGAAATAACTGGACTCTTAGTTTAAAAAATTCCACTTTGCTCATTAAATATGCCCTGACCTACCCTCTGCCTTTAGCTACTCTGACCTCTACATTAGTGGACTTGTAGTTACTGAAATGCCAATGCTTTCTTGTTCACTGTAAGGCAGAAATTAAGATCTTCATATGTCAACCAGGCAAGCATCATCATCAGAGTTGGGACTAAATTAAGTCAGTTAAAAGTTCCTGCTACTTATACTTATGTTAAACTGGTAAACTAGTCTTTTTCCAAAAATTCATCCTTCCAGAAACTTACCTGAATGCCTCGGGCAGTAAGGTGGTCAAACAAAGCTTTTCTCATTAATAAACTAGAAGAGAAAAGCGGAACAGATTTAGGTAATTCTTAGCCTTAGGAAGGACTAAAGTTAGTCCTTAGTTCTAATGTAGTCCTAATTTAGAGTTTTAAGCAATGGCCTCAAACAATAACCACTGCTATGGATACATTTATATCTTAACTGCTGGATCTCTTTTCACTGCTGGCCGGTGAACAACCAGACCAATTTTCTACTCCTTGCTACCAATAGATCCTCAAGAGACCTATTCTTATTGGAGCAGCTCACTGGAGTCTGCATTCCTAAATTTGCAAGTTAAAATAAGATGGCAAACTTGGGTCAAGTTCTATAACATTGTAATTCATGTACAGAATGGATCAGTCTTTTGTGAGCTCTCTTAGAAATCTAATGTCCATTAATTATCTATATATAGGGAAAAAAACCATTTTTTTAAAGTTCCAAATAACCAACTAAAAGTGAACTTTTAGAATACAAATCACTTGAGCAAGATGGGAACTATTGTACTGAAAAGCTTTACATCTAATTTCTTTCTTTTAAAAAAAATATATCTTTATTGGTTTCAGAGAGGAAGGGAGAGGGGAAGAGAGATAGAAACATCAATGATGATTGACAATCATTGATTGGCTGCTTCCTGCATGTCCCCTACTGGGGATCAAACCCACAACCCAGGCATGTTTCCCTTGACTAGAATGGGATCCTTCAGTCTACAGGCTGATGCTCTATCCACTGAGCCAAACCAGCTAGGGCTACTTCTAATTTCTATTTCATTTATGTTTATTAGAATGCTACTAACTAGCTAGGTAGCCTCAAGTAAATAATTTAACTGTGGGTGGATTGTGTTTAAGATGAATGAGATTATCTCCCTAAATTCCTCCATAAGGCTTTCTGACTAATAATTAAACTAATTCTAAATGACTCATACACATTCATTTGTATAGTTGATACTCAACACATCCTTGTTACAAATTATATGTCGAAAGATCACACTAAGTTTGAGCACAGTATTTAATAGATATAGCTAAAACACTAACTTGAATATCAAGAAACGAAAATTCTTACATATCAGAAAGCCAGATGAGAAACTTCTGACTTTTGGACATTTTGTGTGGTTCTTTTAACCTGAGACAAAATAAAATTTGAATAAATTAGAAACACAGTGTGATAAAATAAAACAAGTTCAAAAACAGAAAGTGCCTTATACTTAGTATGTACTAAAAAAAAAAAAATTCCTAAAAAGACAAACATAAATTAAAATAAAGCCCATTTGGGTTCTCTATTTTCCACTGATTTCAGGCTTTTTGCAACGACTGAAAGGTTTAAAAAAAGTTATCTTTCTAGGGATTCAGAGTGCCTAGGGCTCATGTCTCTTCTTATTTTGGTGAAGCCAACTTTCTCTTGCTGCATCTGCTATCATTTAGTATATAGTAGACTTAAAACACACAACCAAACTTAGTATGGATTAAAAGATATTTGGGATAAAAATGAGACAAAAAAAATCCATATAAAAGCATGTGTTTTTCTTTTTCTTTCCCTTTCAATATTTAAAGATGTAGGCCCTGTACTTTTTAATTATTTTTGCTATTGAAAGAGGACATGACATTTAGACATATGCTGTTCCTTCTTCAGTCTTACTGATGGCCAGAGCAGCACCACTACCTGTGCTATTAACTTCGGGTTGTGACCATAGGAAATCTCCATTAGCCTCTCTACTATGAAGATTTCTCAGTTTCTTTCTAAGTTTAACAGCACATAGTGATTCTTAATCTCCCCAGCTCTTAATTCCTTGTTTTCTTTCTAAAGCCACCTCTCTATACTCTTAGTATAATCTTGAGTCCCCACACTTAAATTCATTTTGTCCTTTCTCTTTGAATTCAGTTTTTATTTAGAAGCTCTCTAAATAAAATCCTCTTTTCCCTAACTCTAGCCGAGGTGGAAAGTCCTGGTTGCTATTTCAGGAATCTGAGGGATTTAATACCTCAAATACTAAATTACCTCACTAAATACAAATTATTATGTTGTCTTAGGAAGTTCCCATTGTCTCCCATAAAAGAACCCCAAAACATTAAAGCATACAACATGTTTTACCCATGTCTTAATCCATAATCACTCTTTAGAGAAAAGATTAATTCTATGAAAAAATTCTAATTTTTTCAGGTCTGTGTTTCAATAATATTAGCTTCTAAAAGGAACACATAGAGACAATCTAGAGAGCTCAAAAGTTCATCTCAGGTCAGAGAAACGCTAAGTACACTAGGAATAAATAGTTAGGAATCATTTGAATTTAGCAATGAAAATTATTTCTTAAAAAAAATTATTTCTTTGTAAACAAGAAGTGATTTCTGTTGTTTTATCTGAGAAATAGCCACAAAGACTGCTAATAAATATAACTAGGAATAGATAAAAATGCTCATCACTAAGTAACTCAAACTGGTATGAAACATAGATGCTGAATACAAGGGTACTGACCAAATTCCTTTTCTTACCAATATTTTCAAATAGTTAATGACTAATATTCAGCTTGTTGCTGTTTTTTAATAAATATTTCTTATTAATTTCAGGGAGGAAGGGAAAGGGAGAGAGAAAACATCAATGATGAGAGAGAATCATTGATTGGCTGCCTCCTGCATGGCCCACACTGGGAATCGAGCCCACAACTGGGCATATACCGACTGGGAAACGAACCTCAACCTCCTGGTTCAGAGGCTGATGCTCAACCACTAAGCAATACCAGCCTGGCTTAGCTTGGTTTTTAAAAAAAATTCTGTTTGGAGAATGAAAAAAGTTTTCATGCAGGTGAAATCACATTTAAATGATCTCCCAGTAACTCTGAATTCCTTTGTGATGATTTAGTTATTATTATAAATTTATAGCTAGAAATCACATTCTGAGGGTGCAGGAGATAAAACTAGCTGTCTTTAATAATAATGTAAAAGATAATTTAACAATAAAAGCTATCATTTATTGAGTGTTTATTATTTGTCAGGCACTAATTGTTTTGTTTTGTTTTTTTCCTTAGTAAGTTAGTGTGCGAAAAGCAAGGCTTTGTATCCTGTAGGGAAGTTATACATTCAGAGAAATATCTTGTATAAATGAATTCTATCATTTTCTTTCTCCTATCTCCAGAAGTTTCTTTTGGGTTGTTGTGGGGTGGCTGTTTTTCTTCCTAAATATATTAATACTAGTGGTGAATTTCAAGTTTAATGGATTTTCTGCTTTGTATAGTAGTAGGAAGAAGGAAAGTTGGAGGGCAATTGCTACTACCCTATTTCCCCGAAAATAAGACAGTGTCTTATATTAGTTTTTTCTCCCAAAGTTGCACTAGGTCTTATTTCAGGGGATGTCTTATCTTTCCATGCACTAGGGCTTATTTTCAGAGGATGTCTTATTTTCTGGGAAACATGGTAGATGTTAGAATAAGAGATTAAACCAATAATTAAGCTCAATTCTTTTTTTCTTTTTTTAAATATATTTTATTGATTTTTTTTTTTTTGCCCCCCTTCCTCCTTCCCTCCCCAGAGTTTTATGTCCATTGGTTGTACTTATATGCATGTACACAAGTCCTTCGGTTGAAGCTCAATTCTTTTTATCTGACTTCTGAATACATAGGCACAGAAAGTCATTGTTATGTGAAATGGGCCGAGATTAAATACTTATAATCCTTTGCTAGTATTATTCGTTTTAGAGAATGTCTTAGGGCAAAAAGCACTGTTAATATAGGTCAGCTAATAAAACACAGACATAACTATAGCAATCTATTCTTTATCATTAATATTGATATTAATGAGCTTTATCTTAGTCCTCCTGTAATTGATAATTGATGAAAACAGGTAACCACTTACTTCAATATGATAGAAGGCATTGGGATTTCAAAAAACTGTTCTCGAATTGGCACAAAAGGCAAGAGACCAGTGAAGAACAGGCCAAGAATGAGCAGAACCCGTTGTACACTGAAGAGAATGGGAATATCTGAATTCTAAAAGACACGAACAATATTATGTTACTTTGCAACTGCTCAAAGAGAGGATTATTTCATAATACTCAAAATTTCCCAAGACTCTTATCTTTTTTTTTTTTTTTTGGGGGGGGTCAATCCTCACCAGAGGGTACTTTTTCCATTAATTTTGTAAGTCTTTAAGTTCTAAAATGACAGGAAACTAAAAACAAAACCAAGTACCTACCTATCTACCTAAATAAATAAATAAAATGATAGAAAGCCAGAGGCTTCTAGAAAACAAATATGAAACAAAAGAAAAGTTCTGTGACTCTGAGCCAAAAGTGGACTTTTTATTCTGAAATAATTATAGGTTCACAGGAGGTTGTAAAAACATAATAGAGTCTTATATACCCTTAACTTAGTTGCCTCGAATGGTGACAATCCTATAAACCAGTCCAACTTTTTTGAACTTTAATTGCAAGGTCCATTATCTCTAAGAAATCCATTATCTCTATTATTAGCAAACTCTGGTTAGTTGCTTTCACCCAGTACCATTGGTCTTCATATTAAAAAAATATCACTATAACCTACCATCTATACATAACAATAACAAAGGTCATTCTGTATCATTTTTGAAAGAATTACCTCTTTGTAGCACTTTCCTACAATTTCATAATTGGCATTACCCCATACTGTTATGTGTTCTCGTCTGTACTGTTTCACCAACTCTGAAACCTGTAAGTGAAAATTCATATTTTTATAGATGTGCCTACTGTAAATCCACTTACATTATTTCATTTTAAAAAATGGGTTATAACTGACTATCTGCCAGTGAATAGTACAAAATCTTGGAAGAACCGACGTATAAATTAAGATTATTTTATAAAATTTAAGAAATTAGTTACATTTTACCATCATATCATTTATCTAATAGAATGCAACTACTTAATAATTTGACATGCACTAACTAAAAATGAAATAAGTGAAACTAGAAGTTAATCATACAAATGCCAGAACTATTAGCTCACAGGAGCTCACTTTTATCCACGACTGAGACATGACAACTCTGAAAACAGGCTTCCCAACAGTAAAGTGATCTCTTTTACCAGGGCATTATTTAAAACAACACAGAGCATCACATTTCCTTGCACATTATCAGTCTATGCAGCCATCTACTCTAGCCTTATTAGTTTGTGAAATTGGATGCATGCAACACATTCAGAGGAGGCAATGCCTGAAGTACCTTCTTAATCAGCACACTGTTGTTGACTTTGATATCGATGTTAATGGGAGTGTTAGGAAAGGCCTCAAAAACTTCCTTCAGTAACGGAATCCGGTTATCTTTTCCTTCACATTGGCATGCTGAGAAAGCAAGGTTTTTAATAGATAACTTATTTTTTTGATGATTAGAAGAGATAAAGTAGTAGCCATAATAGGACATTTACAAAATGATGAAAAGCATAAAAAGAAAAATCATATAAATGCAACCATTTAGATATAACCATTGTGACCATTTGGTATACTTTCTCTATTCTTTTTCCCTCTATGCATAATTTAATAGTTATAGTATACCTACATATTTAACCTGATCTTTTTATATAAGTAAAAAATAAGTATTGCATGTTATTACACCGTATTTATAATTGTTTAAGGTTTTTCTCATTAAACTTAAAAAAAAATTTTTAATCGATTTCAGGGAGGAAGGAGAGAGAGAGAGAGAGAGAGAGAGAGAGAGAGAGAGAGAGAGAGAGAGAGAGAGAGAGAGAGAGAGAGAGAGAGGTAGAGGGAGAGAGAGAGAAACATCAACGATGAGAATCATTGGTAGACTGCCTCCTGCACCGCCCCCCCTCCCCAACTGGGGAAGGAACCTGCAACCTGAGCATGTGTCCTTGACCAGAATTGAATCCGGGACCCTTCAGTCTGTAGGCTGACACTCTATCCACTGAGCCAAACCAGCTAGGGCTCATTAAACTTTTTGAGATTAACTGGATTTACATAAAATTGTAAGAGATAATAGATATCTGTGCACACTTTACCAACGGTGACCTTGTAAAACTGTAATACAGTATCATAACCATGATACTGACATTGTTATAATCCACCAATCTAATTCTATAAATATTATTTTTGGTTAATCCTCACCCGAGGGCATTTTTTCATTAATTTTTTTAAATTTTTTTTAGAGAGAGTGGGGGGAGGGGGGCATTGATGGAAGAGACACAGACACGCTGATTGGTTGCCTCCTACATGTGCCCACACTGGGACAGGGATGAAACCTGGAACCCAGGTAACATGCCCTTGACTGGGAATCGAACCCATGACCCTTCAGTGTATGAGGCAATGCTCTAATCCCCGACTCACACCAGCCAGGACTACAATTATTATTTTAAAGTTTTAAAAATATTCCATATTCCATAGCCATGTATCAATTTAATTACTTTCGTTTAACCATTTCCCTTGAAAGGTAGCAGTGTCTGCCACTCCAAAATATGCAGCTTTGGTATAAGGATTATTTCTAATTGAAGACAATGGAGAAGCAGATACAAGAAAGGTTCTCTGCCCTTCCCCTTTTGCTTTAAAACAAGACTTATATTTGTACAAAAATTAATCACCCACAACCATAGACCCTTATCAGCACCAGAGGACTGTATATAACAAACTTTATCTTCCATTATTCTCCCACATCTGTGCATTCTTAAAATTTGCCACCCTAAAAATTCAAAGTCCTTTTCCTTTATCTTGTCACTTCTCTGAAAAAATATTGTTTTGTTAAAATGCTATATAAACTCAGGTTCTAACCATCTCTGAGTCTCTCCCATGAGACATACATATTAATAAACTTCTGCTTTTTTTTCTCATATTAATCTCTCTTTTGTTACAGAGTCTCAGCTGAGAATCTAGAAAGGTAGAAACTACAGCCTATCAGTGGTTACTGAAATTATTTCTAAAGTTTTGCTCTGTTATCATCATTGAATTTTTCAGATATTGAGAATATTATATTCAGGCAAGAGTAATACACGCTACTTCAGTAATGTGTTGAGTGCAACTCAATTCAAAGAAAATTGAGTCATGAAAAAATTAAAAGAGGATTTCAATCATCCTTTATATTTCTTTCTATTTCCGGAGGTTTATTTTCTCCAGATGGAGAAGCAATGTGGTGTAGCTAAATACTGGCCTGGTGAGGAGAAAACCTAGATAAATCCTAGCTTTGTCACTTATTGACTGTGTGACCTTAATTTACATCGTTAGGCCTCTTTCTTTATCTATAACAGGAAGAGACAGTCTCAAAGGTCTCTTCACATCCAAAAGTTTTATGACTTTATGAGGGAGGAATAAAAACCAGAAAAAAATAAAAACTTTTTTTCTCTCAAATTATCTTTTTTTTATATATATATATATTTTATTGATTTTGTACAGAGAGGAAGAGAGAGAGATAGAGAGTTAGAAACATCGATGAGAGAGAGTCATTGATCAGCTGCCTCTTGCACACCCCTACGGGGGATATGCCGGCAACCAAGGTACGTGCCCTTGACTGGAATCGAACCCGGGTCCCTTCAGTCCCCAAGCCGACGCTCTATCCATTGAGCCAAACCGGTTTCGGCTCAAATTATCTTTTCATTTTTATGAGGCTTTGGTTTTGCTCTACAAAGGGAAAAATTTCACTTCTGAAATTTTCTTTTACTTAAAAAATTATATTATCATTATTTTAAAAATCTTTATTGTTGCCGGGACCGGTTTGGCTCAGTGGATAGAGCGTCGGCCTGGGAACTGAAAGGTTCTGGGTTCGATTCCGGTCAAGGGCATGTACCTTGGTTGCGGGTGCATCCCCAGTAGGGGGTGTGCAAGAGGCAGCTGATCGATGATTCTCTCTCATCGATGTTTCTAACTCTCTCTATCCCTCTCTCTTCCTCTCTGTGAAAAATCAATAAAATATATTAAAAAAAAAAAAAAATCTTTATTGTTGAAAGTATTACATATGTCCCCTTTTGCACCAAATTGACCCCTTCTAGCCCGTCCCTACTCTCCACCCATGAAATTCTCTTAACTTTCCCAAGTTCACAATCGACACAACTATGAGAAAAGGTTGGTAAGTATAATCCTGTTAATTACAAGAATGAGAAAGGTATTTCCTGAAACCAAGACAGCTTAATGATACTTACCTGGAAGGCAAAAAACAACAAACATGAGATCTAAATATCACTCAGAGTTAGCTAATTTAAATGGTTTTCTAATTTTTATTTGCCTTTCTAAAATTTCCCACAGACAAGGACAGATCCTGAGCTGAGAACAGACTCACCCATGACAAGGTTTGGGGAGGTGGGAAGAAAAGTAGAAAAGGGAGTGGTCAGAGGATTTTATGAAGGATGTGGCATTTAGGCTAAGCTTAGTAGGATAATAGAATTTCTTCAGACCAAGGGAAGTGGATTCCAGGCTCAAGGAACAGCCAGCATGAGCTACTAAACTCAATTGTGAAAATACATAGTAAGCTTTACTCTCTCACAACGAGTGAACTGAATGTTGTATTATATTAAAACATGTGGGAAAAATGAAATAAAAATTATATTTCCAAAAAAATAAATATATAAATAAAAATTTCCCAAAGAGAAATTTTACTGACCAATGTTAAATGTAGCTCACTGAGAAGTTAAGAGTATGTTTTGAAAATTATTATCAATAGATCCTTTGACCAAACTTTTAAGTATATCCAAGCCATACCATGGACCATAACTTATAGCATCTCATAGCGTGACTGAGTTACATTTGAATCATTCAAAGCATGAGGCTGAATTGTGCTAGTGCAGGAGACTTTACCTGCTCAGCAACCTGTATCTCAAGGTGTATTTTCCATTCTAGCATAACCAACAAATTGGGGCCAAGGAACATGTTTCTTTATAAGATATGCTCTCTCAAAGGAAAGAAAACTGTTATGCTGCTAACTGAAAAGTGAAGATGACTAGGAAATGTATGGTTTGTATTTACTTATTTATATATATTTTTATAGATTTCATCACAAAGATGGTGGTGCCCAGTCCCCTCAGTCCTGCCAGAGTCCTCCAGTCCTTTCAACCATGAGGGGTGGGGGAGGGAGATGAGTGGGGGTGGTGGTGGCAGGTGTGAGCGTGTCCGCAAGTACTGTGGCCGGACCTGCCCTCAGCCCCCACCTGCCCAGGGCTGGTCTGAGGCATAGGCAAGCCTCGATGTCAGTTGCCCAGCTGCCCAAGGCTCAGGTAACCAGGGCCAGCCAAGGCTTGCGCTGCCGGCAATGGCAGCAGCAGAGGTGTGAGGGGGGTGTCGCCTTCCCGATTGCTGGGTTGCCTCCCGCCCCTGAGAGCTCCCAGACTGTGAGAGGGGGCAGGCTGGGCTGAGGGAATCCTCCCCCATACCCTCCAGTACATGAATTTTCATGCACTGGACCTCTAGTCAATGATGAGAGAGAATCAGCTGCCTCTTGCACAACTGCCATTAGGGAACAAGACAGCAATCCAGGCATTAAACCTTGACCTCCTGGTTCACAGATGGATGTTCAACCACTGAGCCACACTGACTGGATTGGATGATTTGAGAAACATAATTCTCTTTAAAATTTAAAATATGGAGCATCTGAATGACATAGAATCAAATGTGAGACAATTAGTAAGGATCTGAAAGGGATCCCTTTAATTTATTCATTTATTTGATTTATGATTACTATATTTTATAGTAATATTCCAGAACTGGAAGCTTTAGAAGTACAAAGTGTCCCTAATAATATATAGGTTTCTTGTCATTAGTATTGGCTCAAATTAACTGTATATAATTTTAGTAGAATGAGCTAATTAAATCTCTGGACATCTTTTTAGGGTCAAGATTTCAGATTAGGCCTAAGAGAATGCTTTCAGGGCAGTACTTTTAAGCTGAAACTTACTATGACAAGAGAACATGCCTATATGTCTAATTCTTAACATAAGTGAATACACTTTAATGTTAATGTTTAAGTTGCAAATGGGAAATATTACCTTTTTGAAATGTGACATCCAGTTTGCAAAGGTAAGGTGGGAGTTCCTTTAAAAGATTGAAAAGAGTTAGCTCTCAAAAAATCAATATTTTAATGTATTACATTAAGACATAAATATTTGCTTCTTCAAAAAATAAAAGAACAAAATACTTATATGTAAGGTACCCTGTAGCAGAAAATCTCCAAAAGCAATTTAATCATATAATTATGTGAGAATTCTCTATACTTTCTTGCTCAATTTTGCTGTAAACCTATAACTGCTCTAAAAACTAAAGTCCACTAAAAACAAAAAGTTCAGAAAATGTGTATTATGTCAAAATATTAAAAAAAATACAATATATATAATAAACAGCAGGGTCACAACTATATAAAAAAACATACTGTACATTCAATAAGATAGTATCCTATTAACATAAATTTTCTTTAGGTGGTAAAACAGCATTTTTCCTTCTATTTATCAGGATTTACTACTAAAACCAGATTTTTAAAGGGTTCTTTCCCATACTGTAAGGGTAAAACTAATTTATATATTTAATCCAAATAAAGCAAATTAAAAAGTATTTCAAGGAATTGAACTCTAGTAGTTTTACATTTGAGAACTTTGGAATTTTGTTAAATTACTTACAAAAATAAGACTCTCTATATGTACATAGTGAGTACATCTTTACTGAAACTCAGAATAGTTTTTAAAAATTTCCTTTGACATTCATTATTTAACCACTGTCATTTATTTTTTATTATTTTATTATTTATCTGGCATTCACTGTTTTTAAAAATGTTACAGGCCCAAGATCTACAAGATATCAGTTTATCATGCATTTTTATACTTACACAGTATTTGAGATCTGAGATGTTTACATTGACCCCAGTTGATCTCTTTAGATTCTCATCATGTGATACAACAACTTGCTCATCTTTTGTGATATGACAGTCCAATTCCAGCATATCAGTTCCAATAGTAACTGCACTGAAGAAATACAAAGAATAATGACATTATGAAACTTAAATTTGGAATTATACATCAAACAGCAAAAAATTAAAAATCCGTAATATTAAAATTTCCTAACACTGTCACCTATTATGACTAACTGATGTGAAAATATTCTAAAGGAACTCAGAAGAAGAGAAGCATGTTGTCTTTCCATAACTAGCTATCCTAGCTTCTGTAAACCCAATTAGAATGGAAAGAACACTGGGCCGGAAGTTAAGAGATCTAGATGTCAGTTCCTGCTTTGCTACAAACTTGCTGTATAACATTGGACAAGTAAATGCCCCCTCTGGGCCTACATTTCCACATCTATAAAATGAAAGGAGTGAAAAACAAGGAAAGGATGCCAGCTTTTGACACTTTAATTCAACACAGGATTAGAAATTCTTGCCAGGGCAATTAAGCAAGGATCAAAAAAGAGGGCAGGGGTCCAAATTGGAAAGGGAATCATAAAACAATTCCACTGACAATAGCATAAAAAGAATAAAAAAACTTAGAAATTAACTTAACTAAGGAGGAGAAAGGCTTATACGAAGAAAACTACAAAACACTGTTGAAAGAAATTAAAGAAGAAATACATAATGGAAAGAAATCCCACACTCAAGAATTAGAATATATTTAACACTGTTAAATGCAAATACTACACTGATCTACGGAGTCAATGTAATTCCCATCAAAATCCCAATGATATTCGATATTTTTGGCAAAAACAAAAATCTACCCTAAAATTGACATGCAACCTCAAGGAACCCCAAAGAGTCAAAACAATCTTGGAAAAGAACAACAAAATTGAAGACTCACACCTCATGACTTCAGAACTTATTACAAAGCTACAGTGTAGGGTAGTGGAAGCCCTGACATTTTTTTCTTATAATGCAAGTGACTGGCTTAAGCTTTGATTGCCAAGGAACCCACTTAAAGATGTTTGCAGAGCATTATGTCTAAAAAACAATGTAGATGCCTTAATTAAAAAATACTTTTATTTATTTTATTTATTTTAATTTAAAAAAAAATATATTTTATTATTTTGTACAGAGAGGAAGGGAGAGAGATAGAGAGCCAGAAACATCGATGAGAGAGAGAGTCATCGACCAGCTGCCTCTTGCACACCCCCCACTGGGGATATGCCAGCAACCAAGGTACATGCCCTTGACCGGAATCGAACCCGGGACCTTTCAGTCCCCAAGCCGACGCTCTATCCGTTGAGCCAAACCGGTCTCGGCCTTTTATTTTAAATATATTTTATTGATTTTTTACAGAGAGGAAGAGAGAGTGATAAAGAATTAGAAACATTGATGAGAAACATCAATCGGCTGCCTCTTGCACACCCCCCACTGGGGATGTGCCCGCAACCAAGGTACATGCCCTTGAGCAGAATCGAACCTGGGACCTTTCAGTCTGCAGGCCAACGCTCTATCCACTGAGCCAAACCAGTTTCGGCTAAAAAATAAAGATGCTAGCCATCATCTGAACCTTCAGTGAGTCATAATCTCTGGTGGTGAAGGGTCTTGCCTCGATGTTGATGGCTGCTGGGTGATCAGAGTACAGGTGGCTGAAGATGGGTGGCTGTGGCAATTTCTTAAAATAAGACAACAATGAGGTTTGCTACATCAGTTGACTCTTCCTTTCACGAATGATTCCTCTGAAGCATGTGATACTGTTTGATAGCATTTTATCCAGTCAATCCTCTCAAACCCTGCCACTGATTTATCAACTAAGTTTATGTAATATTCTAAATCCTTTATAATGTCAACTATTTAGTCAGCATCTTTTCCAGGAATAGATTCCACCTCACACTAGACTTTATGCATATCAGAACACTATTATAAGGAACATTCGAAAACATTAAGATAAAAAGTTTAACCATAATCTCATACCCACACTACATTTTCTCCTCTTGATCCATTTTTTATTTTTGTTAATGCTCATCCAAGGATATTTTTTTCCATAGAATTTTAGAGAGAGTGGAAGCAAGGGGGGAGGGGGAAAAGGAGAAAGAGGTGGGAAGGGCGGAAGGAAGGGAGGGAGGGAGGGAAGGAGGGAGGGAAGAGGGGAGGGAGGGAGGGAGGGAGGGAGAGAGAGACACACACATTGATTGGTTGCCTCCTGCATGTGCCAGACCACTGGAGTGGGAACAAACCTGCAACCCAGGTATGTATCCTTGACCAGGAATCGAACCTATGATCCTCGACTGCATAGGCCCATGGTCAGCAAACTCATTGGTCAACAGAGCCAAGTATCAACAGTACAACGATTGAAATTTCTTTTGAGAGCCAAATTTTTTAAACTTAAACTTCTTCTAACGCCAGTTCTTCAAAATAGACTTGCCCAGACCATGGCATTTTGTGGAAGAGCCACACTCAGGGGGCCAAAGAGCCGCATGTGGCTCACAAGCAGCAGTATCCTGACCACTGGCATAGGTCAATGCTCTACCACTGAGTCACACTTCTTTTTTTTCTTCACTTTAGACTTTCTTTTTTCACTTTAGACTTTATTAGATTTCATCCCTAGAAACCACTTTCTTTGCTCACCTATTAAAAGCAACTCCTTATACATTAAAGTTTTATCATGAGATTGCAGCAATTCAGTAATGACTTCAAGCTCCACTTCTAATTCTAGTCCCTATGCTATTTCCACACATCTGCAGTTACTTCCTCCACTGAAGTCTTGAAGCTATCAAAGTCATCCACAAGGGTTAGGATCAACTTCTTCTAAACTCTTATTAATGTTGATATTCTGACCTCTTCCCATTAATCATAAATGTTCTTATCTTCTAGAATGGTGAATCTTTTCCATAAGGTTTTCAATTTACTTTGCCCAAATCTATCAGGAAAATCACTAAAGCAGCTATAGCCTTACAAAATATACTTCTTAAATAATAAGACTTAAAGTTGAAATTACTCCTTGATCCATAAGCTGCAGAATGGATGTTGCACTAGCAGGAATGAAAACATTAATCTCAGGTCCGGCCAGCGTGGCCCAGTGGTTGAGCTTTGACCTAGGAACCAGAGGACAGTGCACATGCTGGGGTTTCAGGCTTGATCCCCAGTAGATGGTGTGCAGGAGGCAGCCAATCAATGAAATTCTCTCTCCCCCTCCCTTCATCTCTGAAATCAATAAAGATATATCTAAAAAAAAGAAAACATGAAACTCAGCGTACATCTTCACCAGAGTTCTTGGGTGACCAGGTACATTATCAATGAGCAATAATATTCTGAAAGGAATTTTTTTTTCTCCTGACCATTAAATTCTCAATTTTAAAAGAGAATATTTGTTTGCCAACTGTATCTTTGTTAGAGCCACAAATGTATAAAAGTAAAATCTAAAACAGCACAATAAACAAAACAGCTTTTAGGTTGGTAGATTATTTTTCTGTATTTTTTAATTTCCTTAAATATTGTTGTCATACAATATTTAGAGAGGAAGGGAGAAGTCGAAAGAGAAACATCAATCAGCTACTTCCTGCATGCCCCACTGCTGGGGATGGAGCTTGGCAAACTGGACATGTACCCTGACCAGGAATCAAACCAGTGACCTCTTGGTGAATGGCTTGATGCTCAACCACTGAGCCACACTGACCGGGTGTATGCTTATTTCTTAATAACAAGATAATAAATAAAAATTTAGAGCAATAGCAAGTATACTTAGGACAATTTATAAGTTATCCTAATAAATTACCCCAACTTGATATACAAATAGCTAGAACATAGAATTTTTTTTTTTATCACTATGGCCTTCAGAAATTTCCATAAATAACAATAGTATTTATCTACATCAACTGAAACACCAGTTATTTTGTAGCTAAATTTCTGACAAGTTGATGACAAACATTGAAAAAAGTTAGGAAAGCCAGGCTTCAACTTTCTAGAAAAAGAAATTAAAACTCTAGCTATAAAAGAAGATGTGAAATTACTTGAAACTCCACAGAAGCTATGCATACAATTTACAACAGGAATTTTGTTAAGGAATTTATTTGAATTTCATTAACTCCTCACAATATTGAGGTTGTATTATCATTCCCATTTCATTGATGAGATAATTGGTATTATATTAACTAGATAGTCCAAAAAATATTATAAGAATCAGGTCACTGATTAATTACTTTGACTGTCTGCCAACTTATACTTCCAGCTATTGCTAATACAATTTGTTTCTTTCTCTTACCATTCATGTTAATACCATAGGGAACAAATTGTCCTGTGGGTATTTACAAAGACAGCCTAGTTTAATAACATAGTTTTATTAGCTCTTAAGAACCAGATTTTTACATACTCAAGGGTTTAGTGACTGTGTGTGTGTGTAATATAATTCCTTAGTCTTTGGTTCTATGTTTATTATGGATGGGGTTCTATCTTCTTCATCCTGTCTTCTGCTAATATTCTGCTTTGTTCTTGAGTACCCTGTTCTGTATCTCATTCAGTAAGCAACTAGTAAGAGATAGTACCAGAGCCAGGTGTTAGGGAAAATTTGATAAGGAATGCTTATTTATGTAGTTTCAAAGTACCTTCCTATAAAAACACTTATTAATTACAAAGAATAAAGGACTAACTTCCCAGTGGAAAACTCTCAGAAATCACCTTAACCAAAAGATCTAGTCAACATCACTGGCTCCTTCAAGTTGACTGCCGTGTCCTGTTCATGTCCTTGCTTTTTGGCACAGTAAGCAGTGAGTAGTTTAATTTAACAAAGCAAATTAATAACAGTGATCAATTTGGTCAGAATACAAACGATTTCTTTTCTAACATATATTCTTCTATACTTTACAAACACTCTATAATGAATATGCACTACTTTTAAAAAATATATATTTTATTTATTTTATTTTTTTACAGAGAGGAAGGGAGAGAGATGGAGAGCTAGAAACATCAAAGAGAGAGAAACATCAATCAGCTGCCTCCTGCACATCCCCTATCAGAGATGTGCCCGCAATCAAGGTACATGCCCTTGAGCGGGATTGAATCTGGAACCTTCTAGTCTGCAGGCCAACGCTCTATCCACTGAGCCAAACCAGTTTTGGTTACACTACTTTTAAAATAGAGGGAAGGCTGAAATTAGTTTGGCTCAGTGGAAAGAGTGACGGCCTGCAGACTGAAGGATCCCAGGTTGGATTCCGGTCAAGGTCACATACCTTGGTTGCAGGCACATCCCCAGAAGGGGATGTGCAAAAGGCAACTGATCAATGATTCTCTCTCATCGATGTTTCTAACTCTCTGTCCCTCTCTCTTCCTCTCTGTAAAAAATCAATAAAATATATTAAAAAAATAAAATAGCTGAGACCGGTTTGGCTCAGTAGATAGAGCGTTGGCCTGCGGACTGAAGGGTCCCAGATTTGATTCCGGTCAAGGGCATGTACCTTGGTTGTGGGCATATCCCCAGTTGGGGGTGTGCAGGAGGCAGCCGGTCGATGTATCTCTCTCATCGACGTTTCTAACTCTCTATCCCTTTCAATTCCTCTCTGTGTAAAAATCAATAAAATATATTTTTTTAAAAAGATGCTCAATAAAAAAAAAAAAAATAAAATAGATGGAAGAATCAAAGTCTTAAGCTCATGCCATATGCCTGGGACTTTCTTTTCACCATTTTCTCCCAATGTTTCTTAACATTAATTCCAGAATGAAGTCACTTTGCAACTCCTCCGTGACAAAGGACTTTCTTGTCGCTTCAGACCACAATGATTCTTATTACAGACAAGAGTTCATTCAACTGGCAGTTTCCAGACAGTTGTTCTCAGGACTCTTTTACTGATTACCTCAAAGAGCTTCAGAAAATTATGTCTAAAATTTTTAATTTATTTATTTGAAAATAAGAGTTAACCCATTTTATGGTAACATACACTTTATGTTAGAGACTGAGAGAGCAATGAGGAAAGATGCTTGCTCCCAAGAAATTACTGAAGAGCTATATTCATAACTTAAGATGTTATTGAAAGCATTTGATAAACCAAATTAAAGAACTTTTATAAGCCGTGAGATGCATCTATTTCTCTTTGTCAGTCCTAATTATTTATTTAGCCCCACTACAATACAGTCTTAAGGTCCTTACAATTTCCTAGACACACCTGGTCTATCTATCCTCACATCTTAATCTCAAACGTTCCACATTCTTCCTCTATGCCGAATTATAGCTCTTCTAGTCCTGGTAGTTTTTCAGTTTTCTAGTTAATCTTAACCTGGCTTCCCACACCAACTATTTATACTTCCTCTAGTATCTTATCTTCTCATCTTCACTTACATGTCATAATATATATATTTGCTTTATGAACTGTGTATCTAAATATGTGTGTGGGGTGTATCTCAGTAGAAACTGTACAAATGAACTTATAAACATATTTAGCTATAGCTAGCTAGAAATATAATCTCAGTAGAAAAAATAATTTAAATTATTCTGTTTTACAGTTTATGACAGAAGGAAAGAGTATGCACTTTAAAAATGTAAGAGACTCTTGAGATTATAGTTAAAAGGCATCATATTATAGAACAGGAAAAATAAGCCATGACAAATTCAGGGGGATAAAATTTAGATGAAATAAAATGTGGAAAAGCATACCTTTGGACCTGGTAACAGGAAAAATAATCTCTAAAATGTCTTTGAATGATGACAAGCAGGACCAAAACATAAGCCAAGTTTTCCTGATTTCTTAGCTGTTTTTATATAGATAAAAATGATTTTAAAATTATATAAGAAAAAATCAATATGGATAGATAATGTCTTTCACGGGGTTTAACTTCTCACATTCCCTGTTTTAGATTAGATTATGGATTCAGGTCTGTACGAGAATCACTGGGTCGACACATAATCCTATTCATAAACAGCAGCCAGTGTAACAGTTGTTTCATTTTCTACTTTTCTCTTTCTCTCCAAGACTAATTAGCATTACACACAGTGTGTTCCTTGTTATAAATGTCTTCTTTCAATTTTGGAACTATAGTATCTTTTGATTACCCAAACTCTGATGTAGTTTCTTCAGTTACGCAGAAGCCAGACACACTATTTGTAACACTGGAGTAACTGCACAAAAAAGCAATTTTAGTAATATAGAAATAACTATATTATTCACAAGTGGATGTGACATGTATACTATCTTCAGTTTGTGAATCATCATCACTTTAAAGATAAACTGTAAATCTTTTATATACTTACTGCTGAAATGCTGCCATTGTATTCTCCAAATTTTCTCCAGCACCTGTAAAAACATTAAATGTAAACTTCATTTACTTGTATACTCTGCACATTTTATTTTTCTATAAATTCATTTTAATAAGATACATCTTTACAAATGTTCTAAAGAGTATAATGGCATCTCTATTTTTTAGCTGCACCAGGAAGAATCGAAGATCAAAACACAGACACAACAACTCAGAAGTGTGAGAGCATGTAAACATGATTTGTAAACTGTCATATCTGCGAGGAAAGACAGAACAGGACTTGGTACCTATACACCTCCCCAAGCAGAGTTAAACATCTCTCTTATGTATTTACACAGTCCCTTATGCACCTCTCTGCCATGCATTTATCATATTATAGCGTAAGTTATTACCTATTTCTCTCCTTCCTTCCCCATGAGTTACTTAAGACAAGTGCCTGTACTTTAATCACTTTGGCTGAAAGCAGGATACTATAGAAGTTGGGAATGGGCCTCCAGAGTTCTGATCTTTGTTCTACAGTCTATTTGATGTTTGTGTCACCTTGGGAAAGTTACCCAATCTCTGTTAGACTGTGCTTTCTTACGTATAAGAATGAGGATAATGGTTACTAGAGTTGTTGCATAATAGAAAACAGATAAAATAAATATGGAGATTATAGTTTTTTTTTTTAAAGAAAGTGCTGTGTTTTTTTTGTTTGTTTTTTAGAAAGTGCTGTTTTGAGGTTAAATGACTTTAAAACATCCAACTGGTGTCTGTTTTTAATAAAAAAAAACTATGGAAATATGTTATATTCAGATAACCAATATTTCAAGAACAAAGCACTCTAAAATATTACAAAAAAAAAACACACCTAGAGTGCTAAAATGGTTATTGTTAAGTAAACTAGTGACTGCTTATTGTCTCAAAAACAAACAAAAACAAACACAACAACAAAAAACAAAACACCCTAAGGAAGTTAAAAGAATTCTGAAGCCAATTTGAAGGCATTTTCACCAGCCAAACCTGAAACAACATTAGCATCAAATGAATGATAGTAACAAATTTTAAACTACTATATAAAATAGGAAATTCTCAGTCTATTTTAATAAATGGAAAGTTTGATGAGGAATGCTTATTTATATAGTTTCAAAGTACCTCCCTACAAAAACGCTATTACAAAGAATAAAGGAGTAACTTCCCAGTGGAAAAGTCTCTCAGAAACCACTTTAACCAAATGACCAAAGTCAACATCATTGGCTCCTTCAAGCTGACTGCAGTGTCCTGTTCATGTCCTTGCTTTTTGGCACAATAAGTAGTGAGTAGTTTAATTTAACAAAGCAAATTAATAACAGTGATCAATTTGGTCAGAATACAAATGATCTCTTGTCTAACATGCATTCTTCTATACTTTGCACTTTACAATGAATATGCACTACTTTCAAAATAGAGGGAAGAATCAAAGTCTTAAGCTCATGCCATGTGCCTGAGACTTTCTCTTCCCCATTTTCTCCCAATGTTTCTTAACATTAATTCCAGAATGAAGTCACTTTGCAACTCCTCCGTGTCAAAGGACTTTCTTGTCGCTTCAGACCACAATGATTCTTATTACAGACAAGAGTTCATTCAATTGGCAGTTTCCAGGCACTTGTTCTCAGGACTCTTTTACTGATTACCTCAAAGAGCTTCAAAAATTGACTCCTTAAAATTTATTTATTTGAAAATAAGAGTTAACCCATTTCATGCTAACATATATTTTATGAAAAATAACTACCTTCCAAAAAGTTTAATGAGAAGAATGTTTTACATTTTTGCTAATCTCTTTAATGTCTGGCTTAATAGAAGGCAGCTAGATTCTTCTATCTGCTTAACACGTACCTGAATTCAACAAGGGAGTTTTATAAGTTCGTTGCAATGTGGAATCTGAACCACATAAATGTCCTTTTCACACTCTATTACATAGAAACCCACTGGTCCACTGTGAACTTTGAATGGATCTTTCACCCATTCATGGCTTTATGATATTATCCAGTAATCTTTTGGAAAATACCGATTCACTGAATTATGCCAATCTTCTAAATACTGACACATATCATTATATAATATATATTTTTAAATCTCATTTGTTAACATCTGATCTTATTAGGAGAATCTTTGAGAATTGGAAAGCTATCAAGCTCACACTGGCATATGCACGTTTTCAAAATTCTAATTTTTGCTTAAAAGTTCAAATTTAATCATTGGCACTACCTTTATAGAAGGCAGCTAGATTATTTATTATTATTATTATTATTATTATTATTATTAGCTAATGAGAGATATACTTTATTCATTTTCAAGAACATATCTGCTGAATATTCAAGTATCCATAACCAGCTGTCAGTTTTTGTTTTTTTTTTAAAGTAAAAATGGTGTTCTGTGGGGGAAAAAGGTAAATTCAGCTCACAAGCCAAATGACCATACAAGTGCTTTTTCTCAAGACAACCATCATCATACTTTGGTATGCAGTAAAAGTGAATACCTCTAATTATGTCACACAGGCTATGTATAGTTGAAGGTTGAAATTTAATAACAATAATAATGTTTAATAATACAACAAATATATTCTTAAGTGAAACTGCCTTTTTTTTCTTATTTATTGATTTTAGAGAAAGAAGGGAGAGCGAGATCAATTAGCTGTTCCACTTATTTATGCATTCATTGGATAATTGTATGTGCTCTGACTGGGGATCAAACCAGAGACCTTCTGGTGCATGGGACAAATTACTTATTAGATTCATATGGGGAAAGCCTAGAGAGTAACTAAATTAAGAGTATGTCATTCCTCTCCAAAGAATTATTTGGTGTTAGCACCTCTCTCATGAAATTCCTTTTTTTTTTTTTTTTTGAAGGAATAGAGATACTTTCATTCCACCTTATTTTTTAAATTTTATTTTATGATTTTAGAGAGAGAAAGAGAGAGGGGAGAGAAACAGCCATCGGTTGCCTTCCACGAGCACCACAACCCACCCGGCATTGAAACAGCAACCTGGGTATGTGCCCTGACCAGGAATCAAATGGCGATCTTTCAGTGCTTAGGATGATGCTCAACAAACTGACCCACATCGGCCAGGGCCCAAAAGCAATCTTTACCCTCAGACTTATCACCTGTTAAATCAATCTGTGGCAACATGCCCAGACTGTGACAGTACTCTTGCTTAATTGCAAGGGTGAAAAATTAGAAGGAAATGTTAAGATTTGATCAGTTGATTCAGCTGGTGCGGCTCTGGTTAAATGTCATTGACCCATGCACCAAGAGGTCACTGGTTCCATTCCTGGTCAGGGTACATAACCAAGTTTCAGGCTTGATCCCCAGTAGGGGGCATGCAGGAGACAGCCAGTTGATGTTTATTTTTAAAAAAATATATTCTATTGATTTTTTTTACAGAGAGGAAGGGAGAGGGATAGAGCGTTAGAAACATCGAACAGCTGCCTCCTGCACATTCCCTACTGGGCATGTGCCTGCAACCAAGGTATATGCCCTTGACTGGAACAGAACCTGGGACCCTTGAGTTCGCAGGCTGTCTATCTGAACCAAACTGGTTAGGGCTGATGTTTCTTATTGATGTTTCTATCTCACTCGCCTATCTCCTTTCTCTCTCTTTCTCTCTCAAAAATTTTTTTAAATAAATAAATAAAAAAAACATTAAAAAATTTGATCAGTTGATTTTTGTTTAATATTTTAATTGATTTTTTACAGAGAGGAAAAGAGAGGGATATAGAGTTAGAAACATTGATGAAAGAGAAACATCGATCAGCTGCCCCCTGCACACCTCCCACTGGGAATGTGCCCACAACCAATGTACATGCCCTTGACCAGAATTGAACCTGGGACCCTACAGTACACAGGCCGACACTCTGTCCACCGAGCCAAACCAGTCAGGGCTGATCAACTGATTTTTAAAAATTATTTGACCATTAATGCCTAGTAAGTAGACTTTCTTTTTAAAGGCTGTTGCTTAATTCAATTGGCTCATGGAGACAGATTAGAGAGTATTAAAGTATGTTATTTCCCTGCTATCCTATCTCTATCTGAAATATATATGCCATGTAATTCCAAATACAGGACAATATGTACTTAAAAGATATACGTCAAAATGTCCAGATAGTAAAGTTTAGGAGTTATTTTTTCTCTTCTCAATTCCATATTTCCAAGTTTCCTATAATGAACATGAGTTACTTTTACAAATGGAAAAATAATAACAAAACCTATAATTTCATAAAGGAATTAAGAAAATGGCCCTTGATTATACTGCTTGCTCTCCATTTAATCCAAAGGTTATATCTTTGGTTCTGTTGATATTTCATCAATACATTGTAGTTATAAAGTGTGCTCTTGGTCAAATAAATTTAAGAAACACATGGAAACTATCTAACATGTATCGATAGTAGATAATTAGCAGACAATAAGCTATTATTTTAATTATATTGTATATTAGTATCAGTATTAGAGGTTAGAGATAAAATTAATAAAATCTAAAACTTGGCCTAGTAATGGAAGCTGATGTATTAATATATCCTATTACAATATAATGCAATACAATGTATGCTTTAAAGAGGTAAGAGCAAAGCAAACCTATAGCATTTAATTTCCAAGACAGCCACTTTCAAGGTCAATGTTAAAAAAGGTGAAAGTGTTCATTAAAACTTTGAAAACATAAGTATAGGGTGATCTCAATCTTCTAATCAACTCAAAGTTCTATTGCAAAATGCAAATGTGGATTTCCTATATCCATGCTTATATTTTCAACTCTACAAATTTTCAAAGTGCTTTCTATGTACCTAGTCCTCTAACAACTCAAAGAGAAGCAAGCCTGTAAACTCAGGTTTACACCCAAGGCTAATTAGTGGTAGGTCTAGCATCTGACTCAGGAAAATGCTTTTAAGGCAGACATAATATACATTAAGAGTTACACAGTAAGAGTTTCACATTAGAGCAATTCAGGTGTATATACTGTAAACAAATATAGCTATCAATATTTCAGTCTCGGAATGGTTATACACCCGGTTTATATGAAATATCAGGTATTTGTCTTTAGGGCAATTATAGTATTAGCCCAAATGTTAGTCATATGCACAGAGAGACTACTGATTGCTGTTATCAGTGTCCAAGAAAACCCCCCCACAAAAACAAGCAAACAAGGAGACTCCTTCCCAGTCTATTATTTCCCAGAAATGTAGTATCTTTTTTTAAAAGTATATTTTATTGATTTTTTACAGAGAGGAATAGAGAGCCAGAAACATCAACGAGAGAGAAACATCTATCAGCTGCCTCCTGCACACCCCCCCACTGGGAATGCGCCCCCAACCAAGGTACATGCTCTTGACAGGAATCAAACCCGGGGCCCTTCAGTCCACAGGCCGATGCTCTATCTAGTGAGCCAAACCAGTTTTGGCCAGAAACATAGTATCTTGAGTTACTCTGTGTGTGTGTTTAAAATAAATATTGCCTCTATCACTCTAGACTAGGGGTGTCGAACTCAATCAGAGAAGGGGCCAAAATCTAAAATCCAGCCTAAATCGCGGGCCGAATGGTTTACCGAACAGTCATAAACTGTCATTGTGATGGAAACGCAGCGGAGTGCAGTGATGACAGCGCGGTGCGGGCCACATTGCAAGGCCTGGCGGGACGGATTTGGCCCGCGGGCCTTGTGTTTGACACATGTGCTCTAGACTCAACTATATTATTTGGTGTAGATGCTCACACAAAAGCATATGAAGCCACTAACACACTGAAACTCACTACAGTGCATTAGCCCAGCATACAAGCAGAGTTAAACAGATTTTGAGCCTGCAGATATTTTAACAAGAGTATTTCTTCTAAAATAAAAATTTAGATCACCCCTAATGATAGAGAGCTTTTTAGAGGATCTAGTTTTGTTTTGGTCTGGGTTTTAAGCAAGCACACTTTTTGAAAATCAGTAAACACAACTGCAGTGTGTACTGCCACCCCCAGAATAGGACCATCACCACTGAAAATTGCTTCTAGAGTAACAACTTCAACACTAAAAGTTGGTTTGGGGCTTTAATGGTTGAAGGCGTATTAGCAGTTACATGTACATTTTATAGTTGAACTATGCATTTATTAAAATGCAGATAAATCAAATGAGAAACAACATGGCGTTTGGCAGGTGACACCTTTAAAAACCTTTGATACTTCCCATGAGTGGGAGACTAGCATAACCATGGAAGTTAGTCTTTAATACTATGTGGAAGTGATAAAATTATACAGATGAATGCTAATGTATTTCTGTGACATTTAAACCCTTATTCCTGCCCTAACTGGTTTGGCTCAGTGGCTACAGCCTCAACCTGTGGACTCAAGGGTCCCAGGTTCCATTCCAGTCAAGGGCATATACCTTGGTTGTGGGCACATCCTCAGTATGGAGTGTTCAGAAGGCAGCTGGTCGATGTTTCTAAGTCTCTCTGTCCCTCTCTCCCTTCCTCTCTGTAAAAAATCAATGAAATGTTAAAAAAACAAAACAAAACAAAACAAAAAAAACAACCCTTATTCCTGGCCAGTTTTTGTTAGAAAAGGAGTGATGGTACTAAATCAAGTTTTAGACTGTAAACCTAGAAATGTACCATTTTAAGTATTAGGCTACAAATTCCAAGCAATTTTAACCTAGTATTACATTCATTTCTAAAGAAGAGTTAACGTTGATGGAAATAACCCAATTTGACGACATTTTATACATCATATTTCAAATGAAACAGACACTTAATACTCAACAATGAAGAGGCAAAGACTGGACCTGCTGAGACTGCTGTCTGGGAGATCAGAGGGCGGACTATCTAGCCTCCTTCTAGCAAGACATCTTTCCAAAACAAACTTTTGCTTTCTTTAAACAATACCATCCCGTCATAACGAAATCACCTTTCCATCTTTTGGAAATCCACGTGTGGTGGCTGGGGTGTGGGTGCGGCTTTAAAACCCCACAGGTTTGCAGACCGGGGCACCTGGGCGCTCCGGTGGCGGGCCCGGCCCGGCCCGGGCTCCAGGGGCGCGGGAAGGGGCCCGGCTCCCCCCTCACCCATCACCCCGCTCTGCGCGGGGAGGGGGGGGGGGCCTGGCCGGGTCTGCGGCCCCACGCTCCGGTTCCCGCGGTTCCTCCGCCTGAACACTGCGGCCCAGGATCTCCCCACAGGCTCCCCCCGACCCCCCGGGAGCGGCCCATTCCCGGCCCCCAGCCCCCGGCCCCCCGGCCCCCCGGGAGCGGCCCGTTCCCAGCCCCCAGCCCCCGGCCCCCCGGCTCCCCGGCCCCCCGGGAGCGGCCCGTTCCCGGCCCCCCGGGCCCCATGCCCCGCGGCGGGACCCTCCGCGGCCGCTGAGAGACTCTCCGTCCACCGTTCTCACCCGGCCCCGCCTCCTCCAGGGAACCCCGACACCATTGCGCCCGAGAAATCCTCCCCTCGGCTTCGTCCCCAGACCCCCTTCCTGCCCCCCGGAGACCCCCCTCCTCATCGCCTTCGCCTCCGGGGCGCCCCCTCTTCACCGCCCCAGACCCCGTTCTTCCTCACACTGGGCGTATTCCCACCCGCCAGCCTTGGCGGAGCCCCGAAGGACCTGAGGGGGGCGTGGGGGGGAGAAGGACACACGACAGAAAGGCGCCCGTTTCCGCCCCCGGGCTCCGCGGACCCCTCACCTCCGCGGTGAGAGATGTGTTTGCTGAGGAACCGCTGCTTCTTCCTCTGGTGCAGCAAGGTCGGGTACTTGAGCAACAAGAAGGAGGTCACCAGGTACCCTCCCAGGGTGGAGAGGAGGTAGTACGCCGCGGTGGACATGTCGGCCAAGCGCGGGTGGCTGCGCCGCCAGGCCCTCTCAGCGCCGCTGCGGCGGTCGCGCGGACGCGGCGGCGGCTCCGGGCCAGCCCGCCCCCCGCCGGTGCCCGCGGCGCAGCGCACTTGTTCGCGCGCGCCCACCGCGCAGGCGCAGCCGCCGGCCCGGCAACAAAGGGCTGCGGCGCGCAGGCGCACTCCGCCCGCCCGGTGCGGGGTGGGCGCCGGCCGGACCGTCCTGGGGGTCAGCGGCAGCTCCCCACCGCGGCGGGAGCTGGGACCTGGCCGTGCCTTCGCCATCGCTCGGGCAGAGAGGGCCTGGCATCGTTGGACAATCCACGTAAAAAGGGAATGATTCCACCGTGCGGCTTAGCCTCTGCTCTGGGAAAGGCAAGGAACTGTAACGGATGGAGGAGTGAACGCTCGGTATTAAAACAATTAACAAACCCAACCATTTGTCTAAGCCGACAGAGAAAGTCCCCTAGAGCAACATGTGCCCATGCCAGATACCAATGTATTAGTCAAATATTTGAGGGACTGGCTCTTCTTTAATTTAGTATGGAAATACAATCCCCATGCTTTCTACACGTTAGGCAGTCAAATATTTGTTGACTTAGGAGTCTATTTAAAATAAGGAAACGCTGACAAGGCCGTAGTTTGTCACTCAGAAGTCTTAGGAAGACAGGAAACTGAATTCCAAAAGTCCCAACTAGTTCCCCTTTCACCTCACAAATTCCAATCTCCAGTCCTCGTTTAAATGCAAAAGAATTAACCCCCGGGGCCGAAAATGTGGCCAGAGCAAGTCTTCCGCTGAAGTAGAATGCAGACTGGTTATTTAAATTCTTGTGGTTCTTGTCTCTGGCCTTAAGCAAATTATTCTCTTCTGTTGCTTTATCTGTAAAATGAGATTTATTTATTTATTTTACTAAATAAAAACCTCCAGCTCTCACCTTCTATTATTGATCTTGATTCCCTGAAATTCTAGCTTTCTTTAAGATGAGTAAATATTTAGAAGATTTTTAAAAATCAGGTGCCTTCATTAGACTTTAAAAAGTAGCAGAAAAAGATTTTGTTCAGTTTATCAGCAATAATTATTTTTTAATTTAAATTTTTATGTATTTTAATGATTTTTAAATTTATTTTTGAGCAAGAAACATTGGTATGAGAGCAACACATGGATCAGCTGCCTCCTGAAATACCCCTACTGGGATAGATCCTGGAACCCTGGCATGCCCCATGGGAATCAGTGACCTCCTGGCTCATAGGTGGATGCTCAACCACTGAGCAACACTGGATTTGAAAACAATCAAGGCCCTGCAGGCTCAGGAAGAACCTACAGAGGATTTATAGGGAAATACCATTTTTGATAACTATAGTGTAATCTGAATTAGGTGTGGTAGACGGAATGTTAAAGACAAAAACCACAGGCCCAAAATGGCATCATTCATGCTAAAGGCCCAAGATAAACCTAGATTTTTTCCCCCAAGAAAAACGATTTTAAGTATAATAATGTTACATGCAATAAATGATGGACCCTCCCTTCTCCCTGACAGATGGACAGCGTATGATGTAAACTGCACCCTCGGCCTGGATATTCCTGAGCACCTAACCGGGCACCTTATATGGACTGTACATTGAACCACCAATCAGCATCTGCCAAAAACCCTAAGTTCTTGATTCCTAAGTATCTAAGTGCCCAATCATGTGCCTTATAGGAAACCACCGATCAGCGTGCCCCTAGTACTCTGAGCCCCACCCCTTCCCTTTCCTCCCCTCAAAAGGCGTGTTCACCCCTACACGTGTTGCTACTCCCAGCCAGGCAGAGCTCCTTCTCCTCTAATAAAACCTGTAGTCCCGGTTTTTGGCCCTCTGTCTCATCTTTCAATAAACATTAATATTTCGAGAAAAACGATTTTAAATATAATAATGTTACATGAAATAAACATCAATATTCCAAGAATGTTTATTGCATGTAACAAACCTAGATTTAATGCCTAATTTAACTAGAGTTTCAGCCTCTCCCAGAAACATTATGTAATTTACCACCAGTATGTAATTTCCTGGTCATCTGTGATCTGTCACATGGGCCCCCATGGAAAGACTAGGTAATCTGTATGATAAACCTTTCTCTTTTCCTAAAGTAGGGGTGTCGAACTCAATCAGAGAAGGGGCCAAAATCTAAAATCCAGCCTAAATCGCGGGCCGAATGGTTTACTGAACAGTCATAAACTGTCATTGTGATGGAAACGCAGCAGAGTGCAGTGATGACAGCGCGGTGCGGGCCACATTGCAAGGCCTGGCGGGACGGATTTGGCCCGCGGGCCTTGTGTTTGACACATGTGTCCTAAAGGAAAGGGTACCCCAGCCCTGCTCTGTGATACACTCTGGCTCTTTCAACATCAGTTCCCCCAAGGAGGCAGGAGGGTGGTACATCTGGGAAGTTGGCTCCAGCGTGAGCTCCGTGGTGATAGTCGTCTCGGTCTTCCGAAGTTTTGGCGGGATGCGGGGGGCGGGGGAAGACGACGACGACGACACTTCACTACCAGGAGTGCCCCTCTGGTCTGCGGTCCAGCGCCTCCGCGCCAGGCGCCCATTCCCCGACCGACCTGGCTCCCGCGCTCCCCCTAGCGGTCGCCGCGCGTCTTTGCTCTGGCCCAGGCTCTTCCCTGACGCTGCTCACGTGACTGCACTCCAGGTCAGTGACAGCTGTAATTCAGAGTCACCAAGGGAGCGAGAAGAAAGGAGATGGCGGCTGAACACGATCAAAGAGGGCCCCAGTATTTAGGATTGAGCCTTCTCCTTCCACCCAATTATGCCTTCAGGTGCTCCTCCCACCTTTGTACCCCTCCCAAAATGCAGAGGGAGAAAGCAAATTTTGTCAGTTGCATAGTTTGCTTTCATTTCAGCTTTACTTGGGAACCATCCAAAAGTTTCTGACTACATGAAGGTCAAGTGTACCACTGTGCAGCTATGTTTCGTTTCCAGAAGAAGTAAAAATACTGCTGGTGGTGGTGAGGGTCAGAGGGGGAGGTAAGGGTCCTGAGAAAGGAGGCGCATGGATTTGCAAAGAGCCCAAAACTGGGAGCTGGAGATCTGGGCACTAGGTGACAGCTCATCTTGTTTTTACTCACCTGTAAAAGGAGATTAAAATGCCTGCCCTGCCCACTGTTTGGGCAGAAGGGAGTAATATAATTAGTCAAAACATTGTTTTGAAAAATAAGCAGCACTGTCTTTATATAAGTAAGCACAGTGTCATTATTTATGATGTACCCAAGATCACTGACAGAAACCATGTTCAAGATATCTGGGCATGAAAGCACACTTTGGAAGTTATCAAGTAAGTGCCAATAAACCCAATATATAGAAAAATACTTAAAAGCACCAGAGTGTTTGGTGGATAGAAAACCATGAGCTTCAGAGCAAGTTAGAGTTGGACAGTCAAAGAACACAAGAGCCTCCCATGCATTAGAGGGCTTGGTAGCAGCGTTCAGTGATGGATCCCAAAACTCTCATGTTCCAAAAAACCTTACACAAAACAGCATCATTTATACTCTTTTTATAAACTTGCAAAAACAAACAAAATAAAAGTATATCTATAATTGCCCTATAAGAGAAGTGAAACCTAATGCATACAAAACCAGTTGAAACCTCATGGTAAAGAGCAACTGAAACCTAATGCACACAAAGCCAATTTACCAACTGTAACACGCTAGTGAACAGGTACTCATTTGGAAGAAAAGCACTCGGGAGGGATAGTTAGCTCCAGGTCCAAAAATGGAAAGGTTGGCTGCTGAGCTTGAACAAGACCTGGATGTGGAAGTGTCCCCGCAGGGTGCTTTGGGGGAGCTGCAGTCAGCTGCAATACAGTAGCATCAACCTCTGAAGTAGGCTGAGCTGGGTGGAAGTATGACCTCTTCAGTGGACTGTGGGAGGATGAGCTGAGACCTCCTCGGTTGCAGATGGTTCAACCTTTTTAGAGGGGCCTGAAATGAATAGGCAGGCATTGGATGCTGAGCTTCACCCGAACCTAGAGGTGAAACTGTCACCTCAGGATGTACTGAAGGTTGAGCTACAGCATCCATAGAGGATTTTAAAGACTGAGCTCAATCCTCTGCTGCACTGGAGAAGGCTGTACACCAGCAAGAGGCACCTAAGGCAGAGCTGAGCTCGTTGCTGGATTAAAGATTGAGGGTAGGGTGGATGCTTGTCTGGAAGTCCCTAGTGGAGTAACAAAAATTTCAATGGCTCAGAGGATGCTGTAGACTAAGTTGAGGCCTCTGGAAGCTGACCTGAAGCCTCCTGAAGGTTTGTAGAAGGTTCCATTTTCTCAGGGGCCTCTGTAGGCAGAGCTGAGGCTTCCTACTGGAATGATGCAAATTCAACCTCTTCACAAGGGTTTTGCTGATCCAAGGGCAGGCTCGGTGGTCCCCCTGGGATAGAGGTCACCAGGATTGAGTGCAGGGCCAACTCCAGAGGCTGAGCCACCTGGACCTATGGCCACAACAGCTGCTATGTGAACGGGAGCTGTGGGGTCCACAGGTGCAGCCTGGACATGAAGGGCAGAGGTCCCAGCACAGCAAGTGACCCAGGCAAGTGGGGCACAGCGACAATCCAGGCCAGAAGCCGAGTTCTTCTGCTGGATTGAAAATTCAACATATTCAGGGTAGACTCTAGAGTAGGGGTGTCGAACTCAATCAGAGAAGGGGCCAAAATCTAAAATCCAGCCTAAATCGCGGGCCGAATGGTTTACTGAACAGTCATAAACTGTCATTGTGATGGAAACGCAGCGGAGTGCAGTGATGACAGCGCGGTGCGGGCCACAATGCAAGGCCTGGCGGGACGGATTTGGCCCGCGGGCCTTGTGTTTGACACATGTGCTCTAGAGTTTGATGACCTTCATGTTTGAAGATTGAACTGGGACTTCAGTCAAGGTTGGCTGCTGAGCCTGAATAGATTCTGGACATGGAAATGCCACCTCAGGGTGCTTTGGAGCTGCAGTCTACTGCAGGGCTGTATCAACCTCTGAAGTAGGCTGAGCTGGGATCTCCGGCTGGGGTGGAGGTTTGATCTTTCAGTGGCCTCTGGAGGATGAGCTGAGACTTCCTTCTCAGCTGCAGGTAGTTCAATGTTCTTAGGGAGCTTTGAAGTTACCAAAACCCCCAGGTCAGCATCTTTCACACTGATAGGCAACACTGGATGCTGAACTTCACCCGAATCTAAAGGTGAGACTATCACCTCATGATGTACTGAAGGTTGAACTATGATATCTATCGAGGATTTTGGAGACTGAGCACAACCAACCCTTTAGCTGGACTGGAGACGGCTGTACATCAGCAAGAGGCATGTGAGGCAGAGCTGAGCTTTTTGCTGATTGAATATTCAACATAAAGGCTCCGCAGCTCGCCGTGATCGTATAGTGGTTAGTACCCTGTGTTGTGAATATTCAATGTAGGGTGGATGCTTATCTGGAACTCCCTCGTGGACTAATGAAAATGTCAATGGCTCAAAGGACATACAGACTGAGCTAAGGCCTCTCATTGGAGTGGAGCTCAGCTAAAGCCTCCTGAAGGTTAGAGAGAAAAAAATTCCTGAATCCTAGGCCACACCTGAGATCAAGTAGCTCAAAGCCTCTGGGGACAAGCTGCAGAATGGGGACTGGTTAAGTTCTTTGGTGATCGCAGAGGCCAAGGCTGACACTCCTCGCTGCAGACCTCTAGAGTCTGCCTCAAACACAGTCTTCTGGGCCCCTGTCCAACTGAGAGTGGCTGCAGGACAGCTGTTACCTTATTCTAAGGAGAGAAAGACAAAGCTCAGGAGAAAGATGTGGTTGCCGCCAGCAGGGCTGGCTGGGATTTGAAGCCAAGTGTATGCATCCTGGGTCCAGGGCTTTCACCGCTGCCTCTGTAACTATGCCCAGTGCAAAGGGCAGAGGTTGCTTCCAACTCATCTGCCCTAAAACAGCTAACATGGTGCCAGGCATATGCCAGGCTCTGGCAGCTGGATACTGAGGAGATGGGAGGGCTTCCCTGCTGGGCCCAATGTAGGACCAAGGCTGAGAATCTGTACCAGAGGCACAGGGATGAAGTGGGGAGGGCCTGCAGAGGCCCTATGGCCTGGGACTTACCAACTGTACTTGGGGGAAAAAGACCTGCCAGACTCTCCCACCCCATCGCATTTCCCTCTCCTCCCATGTGCCATGTAAAATGAAAGGACACACACACAAAAAAGGAGAAGGAACTTTAGACCTAAAAAGAGCCAAATCAAACCTGCAATTGTTTCCTCTTCCAACACCAGGCTTGACACAGGGTTCTGGGAAGACCAACGAGTAGAGTTATGTCGCTCTCTGGTGGCAGGACCCGAGAATCACTTCCATTTTCCATTCCCAGAAATTCCTGGCCAAACAGCCTCTCCCCTTTCAATTAGGAAAATGTTTTAGGACAGAGAACCTGCCATATTAGGTGCAATAAATGCCTTATAGCTCTTTTCCCAATGCTAGCAGGCTGCTTTGTTCCCCCATCTCATACAGAACGCAGGAGTCAGGTCAGTGCAGTGATCGTGAGCTTGGGCTATGAAACCGGACAGAAGAGAGGCCAGCTCCCCCAGGACTCCTCGCCGGGGCCTTGGGAAAGTCACTGAAGCCCAGCCTCCTCACATGCACAACGGAGACAACACAGGTCCTAACTCAGAGGGTTTGTGAAGGTTAGAGGGGCAGTCCAGGAAAATAACCACGGCTGACTTCCAGTAAGGGCTCCAGGCAAGCTAGCAGCATTAAAGGTCTGGGTTCCCCCTGAGCAAATAACACATCCCCATCCTCACCCCCCACCCCCATTTAGACACTAACAAATCATGTTTCTCTCTTTACTTTGGCTTTGGGGGCTCACAGGCAAACTAGGGGTTCCCAGAGCTATTCAGCAGGGCTTCATGATTTAAACTGAGCCTTTTCCTTAGTATTGATATTCTACTCTGATTTGTTCTGGATAATTTCTTTTTATTTCACTGTTTTAGTTATTTCCTATAATTCTCCTTAAATCTTTTCTGAGATAGGACGTAAACAAATAAGACTTACTGGGAAATTTATAAATGGTTCTTCACTCATATATGATGAACTAGTTCAGCATACATTTGCAAATGCTATAATCTTTGATTAACACAAATATTCTAATTCAGAAGGTTTGGGGTAGACCCCCAAGAATCATAATTAAAAGTTTCCAAGCTGCTTCTGAAGCAGCCAGAGCAGCCCCTAGCCATGGAGCAATGTCTGAGAATGTCTGGCCTGAAAACATTAAACAGGGGATCATTAGCATGGCTTTGAACCAGGTCCACCTATGAACCAGGAGGTCAGGGTTCAATTCCCATCAGGGCATGTGCCTGGTGTGCAGGTTTGATCCCCAGTTGCGTGTGTGCAGGCAGCCAATCAATGCTTCTCTCTCATCATTAATGTATCTCCCTCTCTCCCTCTTCCTTCCTCTCTGAAATCAATAAAAATAAAAAGATCATTAGTTACAACAATGAATGTCAAGTTTCTTTACAAAATGTAACATTTTAAATAAAACAAATCTCAATTTTATTTAACCGATATGTTTAAAAAACAATGGGTTTAAATCCAAATTTGCAAATAAAACCCATTTAAATTCATTAGGTCAGAGGACTTAGGAAAAATGCCAGCAATGAAACCTATAAAAATCAAGACTCTCCTATTTATTTGGTCTTCAAATTTGGCTTTTCTTAAGGTGGTCACTCAAGTAAATTCCACAGAAAGAAGATATTCCCAAGTTCCTTGACACCCCACTTGTCTTAAACCACAACAAGCAAAGCTTTTACCAAAAGCCTGGACAAGGTCACCGGTTGTCAACTGGAGATTCTCGCACAAGCTCAACCTGGTAATTCACCCTGACTCCACTAGGTGGTGCTCCTGTCCTGGTCTCGGACTCTTCGCTACATGGGATTGTGGAGACAAGCATTCAGTTAGGCGTTTTTCACAGACACACTGTGACTGCAGTTCCCTACCCAGGATGGAAGACCCACAAAATGCCTCCACAGTTTTTATTACAAAGTTGGGAGAATGACTCTGAAGGTGGGGAAGGCCCTACTGCTGGTTCATGAAGGCTAACAATCATTATAAAGGCAAGTGTGGAAACGCCGTGGTGCACACTGCAAACAGATGTCACATCAGCCAATAGAGGGGGGTGGGCAGGCGAGTTTTACTCTCCCAGAGTTCAAGTCCAAATAGCTTAGCTGCTCCTTTTGCACCTTCTTCCAAAGTGTACTGTCTGGCAAGATCTTCCAGAGTCCAGGTCTGTGCAGTTTAAAAACCCATTTTTATGGAATGCTAAGAGGCCTATGCTGGGTCCTGAGGATGGCAGAGGTGCTGGATGTGAGGGAAATTTCAAACTGTACCTCCCCAAAATTAGATCTAGGACTGAAGATGCCTCAACCCCTCTCTCCATCCTCCAAGCCATCATTTTCATTCTGTCAGGGCCTTCAATTCTTTTATGAAGGGGTCATGGATTCCCCCTTCCTTGAAAACCCATGGGCCAGAGCAATGGAGATTCCACCAAAAGTGTGAAATCAGAAACATTTATCAAAAGGGGATCTATGCCACAGATGTTGCTTAAAAGACCAATACTGCTACAGAAACAGGTGGGAGGTGAAAAGAGCAGCTGAATGGAGCACACACAGAAAAGGGAAAGAAACAGAAGACAGTAGGTGGGGCAACATAATCAAAGGTGGCAGTAATATGGACCAGGTTTCCAGTCTGGGGAATTCTGAGTGCTAGCTTGTCTTGCCATAAAGCTACTGAGCATAGGGCTGGGAGGGCCTGTGATCGAGATATATATATATATGCTAACCAGGTTTTTCTGGTACTTTCAGCAATTAATCAAAAACAGACAGACTGCTTTTACAATAAATTCCACGATATGCCATTCTTAATCCAGGGTTTGTCAGAAAAGGGAAAAGGGTCTGGTCTCACAAGGACACCAGAGACAGTTTTAGGGTGGCACCTGCCCACACTGGCTGGGCAGGGGGAGGGAGGGGCGCTTGGCTGGCAGCTGCTAATATATTTCCAGGCACGAAAAGAGATCCAAAGAGTTACAGATGTTAAAACTAGAGATGAGACTGTAATGGACAAATCACTATCCTTTGCTCACAGCTGTTTTCTAAGGGGTCAAAGCCCAACAAAACCTGGGCATGGGTGCCAGGCTGCAGTCTTGGAACCTTAAAAGCCAACCATTCCATGAACTAGGGTCTTTAGTCTTAAGACTGCACGTGCCCAGAGAATGACAGTGGCCTCAGTTTAGAAAGGAGCAACACCCAACAGCTATAATGTAGAAAATCTTACTCGTCAGCAACAGCACCAATGCCCATTTCCTCCAGGGAGCTGCTTCTGGGGAAGGGTGACAGTATGAGCGGTCAGTCATCTGCATGTCATTATGGGGTGGGGTGGCTAGCTGCATGTGAATCCATTTACTATAATGAATGCAGGAAAAGAAGGCCTCTTTCCCCTCCTTCTCTCCGCTTCTGCTCTGTCCTGTCCTTCGGAGCTGGAAAAGCTGGATGACAAAAATGTGGACAGTCCTGTCCAGAAGGGTCACCGTGAAAGCCTTCCGGGGGTGTGCATCATGTACGTGGACAAATCCACCAAAGCCATTCTTTTCCTTACTTCATCGCCTACCATTCCATCACTTCCACCCCCAGCGAGAGTGAGAATGACAAAAAGAGAAGAGGTACTCCGTTCATTTTCTATGCACCGTGAATCTTGGTAGCACTCGCATCCTCTCCAAGATGTCACAAACAGAGCAGGTTTGAAACGCCCACTGGGTTACAGATCACAATGACTTCTGAGTGGTTTTCACAGTTAAGACGGACATACATTTCAAAACATGGCCCCTGGGCCCCCTTCTCTCTCTCACGCACACATACACAGTCACACACGCTCATGCAGCAGGAACGGCGTCCAGCTGCTGGGCTTAGCTGGCTCATGTCAGGTACTGCACCACCAAGAACATGACCACACAGGTGAGCAGCATCCCACCGATCATAAAGTACTTGTCCTGGAAAGCCCGTTTCTCGATGAGCCGCATCACCGTGTTGGACAAGCCCAGCATGTTGGCAATGTCAAGGATCCTCTTCTGAGTCCCCTGGGGTAGAAAAGAGAAAGAAAAGCAGGGTGGGTGAACATTAATATGAGGTGGGGATTTACCAACAATAGTCTCTTAGTCAAGTCTAAAGCATACACAAAGCAGCATCAACCAGAAATAGATCACTCACATGTGGTCAAATGACTTTTGATCAAGATACCAGAGCAACACAAGGGGGAAAGAAAAGTCTGGTTATATAATAAATATCACATGTATGTATCACATACACACATATACGTCTTGTATAAATTATATATAAGTATCTATGTATATGCATATATATTTGTGTAAAAAAAATGATCCTTGACCTGGGTGGGAGCAAGCTAAAAGGGGTCAATGGGGGGGAGGGAAGGGAAGAGGGAGACATATGTAATATTTTCAATAAAGATTTAAATTTAAAAAAAGATCCTTGATTCATATTATATATAAAACTTAATTTGGATCATAGAATTAAACATAAAAGCTACAACTGTAATAAAGCTTCTAGAAGAAAACACAGGAGAATATCTTAAAACTGGAAATAATGCAGATATCTAACACCAGAGGATGGATGGATTAACAATTTATGATACATGTGACAATGGGATACTGCTTGGCAATAAAAAGGACCTATTTACCAACATGTAACAGTATGAAAGAGCCTGGAAAACACTGAGAAGAAGCCACACACAAAACAGTAACATTAATAGCAGGCAAAATTAATTGGTGGTGAAATAAATCAGAACTGTGGTTGCCTGTGGAAAGGGGCAGACTGACTTGGAAAGACTGAGTTTCTCACAGATCAGTGATCTTTTAGGGGCGATGTCTTGATACAGTGTGAATTACAAAAATGCAAGCATTTGTCAAAATTCAATGACCTATACAAATAAGATCTGTATACCTCCTTGCATGTACATGATACCTCAATAAAATTTTTTAAATTAAAATATTTTATATTAAAACAGTCTCCGCTCCCTATCTCCAAAATCCTATCAGGATGTTGCTGAGTACAACACGTGTGCTAGTGCCCAGATTTACGAGAAGGTTTGAAGTGGGCAAGATGGAATGACAGAAACACAACTGACAGACACCATCACAATGATCTTATATAAATGTCACCACCCACAACCATAACAAAAGGGTGTTTTATTCCTAAACCAAGAGACCAAACCACCCAACGTGCTCTTCCTCTCTGCTTTCTAATTTTCATTTTTAATCACATTCAAATTCTTATGAAACAAGAAATAGAGATGAATGCGCAGGAGACCCCAAGTTACTTCTACACACATCACCGACTGCATCTGTATGAATGGCATCTAACCTAATGCCCCACACCCATTTTTTAAGTGAACAACACAGTAACAAGCAAATGAGAAGAAGCAAGAGAAGCGAGAATGACACAAGGCACTACCGACAGGAATTCAGACCTACGTGCTGCCCAGTCCATGATCTCAAAGCCTCACTGAGAGATTTCACAAGTCAAACTTGATTACTGCCAGAGGAGAGCAGAGACATGCTTTCCATACGGTGATGGTGAATATTGGACTCTCACTAAGATTCTGCTCAACTCTGAAAATGCATATTATTTCCTCACCATGTGAAGTTCAAGCATCAAGTTTCTAAAATCACCTAAAAATTACCATAACTTTTTCCCCAAATAAACATTTTCAACTAGGACAAGCCCCAAATCATGGCCCAGCTCCTCGATGTTCTCCCCCATGTTAATTTCAAACGGTTAAAGCCCGAAACTTCCCTTGTGGAGGTGGGTGGGAGGCGGCGGAGGGAAGAAGGCAGGTAGTGGTGTGTGCAGAGGACCGGGATCAGCATCTTCCTCCCAGCCTCTGAGCATCTCACAGGCTCCCTAGCACTTCACTTCCGGGGACCGTGCAGGGGCAGGAGTTGCTTGCACTACTCAGTGATGCCAGACTGCAGTAGGAAGCCAACATCAGCCTTAACAATAAGCTCTAACCCCCACTGCTCGACATTAGCGAAGGGTTTTACTGTTCTCTGAGAGATGGGAAGGAGGCCAGCCGTTTTCTACAGTAAGGGCGGGTTAACCAACGGGTATCAGCTCAGATTACTGCAAGTGGCTGTTCTGAAAGGAGGGCACCGTGAAGCTGTCAGAGGCCACACTTCAGGCCATCAGCAGCAGGTTACATGTCGCCCATGGCTGGCCTGGCCTTCCCCCTGGTGAAGGTGGCCGAAATGTACTGAAGGCCGTGGAGCTGCCTGCCTCAACATGGTCCAAGAAAAACTGAGATAAAGCTCACGCTTCCGAGGGACTGTTTCTCACAGCTCAGTGGCTGGGAGTGCTTCGTTCACAGGGAACCACACCCTGATAATGAGGCACAGTCCACACCCCATTATCCACCAGAGCTGGTACAGGAAAAGGGCTGAGGCTGGCATCAGAGTCTGTGTAATGTTTCTGTAAACTACTCCCAGGGGGTTGGCATTTCAGCCAATGGCGCAGGGCTCCCAGCAATACCTGGGGCTTAAGAGCGGGGGAGGAGTTACCGGGGATCACCATCATGGGCTCTAGAAGCTATCTCCTGCTAAACAACCAGGGCAGCCCTGAGACCCCACCTCTGGGGGTTCGGTTACGACAGCACAAAAAGGTCTCAGTTCTACAGCACACAGCAGAGGCCCTTACGAGAAAACACCTGACTGTGAGATGCCAAAGCACAGCCACGTCTTCTTTCTTACGAGTGGATTAAATAACAGAATTTCTTAAGTCTATTATTGGTTCCTCTCAGAGCAGCAGTCACCTTCAGAAAGTGGGACAAGACCTGGGATACCAAAAGATGCCACATTACGATTCATTACAAGCACAAGAAACACCTACTAGCAAAGGCCATTGAGCTACTTTCAGACTCATAATAATTTGACACCAAAGGAAGGATCCGTCTCACCATCACAGCATCACAATTTGGGAATACGTAACCAAAATGCAAATGCAGGGACCAAGCTGTTGGATTAGGCCAAGACAAGAGGCCTTCTCCCTGTCCCCCGGAAGGGCCCCCACCTTCAAGGTCATTCTCTGGGCCCTCAGTCCCTCCAGAATACTGTGCCCGCCTCCAATGAGGTCATCCATGCCGTGGTGAATGTTCTGGAGGGAGGAGTTAAACTGCAGGGATTCATCCATTGGTATGGTGGTGTCAGAGTCCTGTGGAAGAAACGCAGGCACTTGATTAACTTTGCTTGCTAGTCAGCCTCTGCGGGCCCACCACGTCTGACAGCTCTGCCTGTTGGCCAAGGCCAAGCCAGAAGAATTGACAGAGGGAATGGTGCAAGAATCAGAGGAACATAATAGAGGGGGGGGGGGGGGGGGGAAAGGCAAAGCGAAGATCTGGAATGGCCTCTGTCACCTTCCTCAGACTTCCATTACACAAATCTTATTAATTCCTGCCTCTTATCATGACCCCCACTGGGGAAAATCGATTCCTTCAAGACCCCATGGGCTTCTCTCAAAGTCTTTCTCTGACTGCTCACTAACCTAGCTTGTTCCAAATGTCCCTTTTCTTGGTTTCCCCTTAATTCCACATTAAATGTTTGCTTTTGTTCTTTAGCTATTTTATCCATAGCTTATCCCTCCACTTAGACTGACACTAAGGACAGAAGAGACAGTGCTTTCCTACTGACGCCCAAATAATGTTCAGATGGGACTGGTCTCCTGAGCAGGCAAGAAAAATCTGCACAAAAAGGAAGGGAAACAAAAACTAATACTGACCAAGTACTTTTCACTTTGCATGCTCATTACCCTAAGCTCACTTACTCCTCATCCTAACCTGATGAAGTAGTTAACGTATTATCCCCATTTAGAGATGAGGAAACTGAAGCCCAGATAGTTAGAATACCTTGTTCAAGTTCTCCCTGAGCTGTAAGAAATCCAGGAAGGCATGACTCCCAGTTCTGAGTGCAGAGTCTGCTCTCTTAGCCATCTGTCTGGAGGAAGATCAGGACCAATCCTAGGCTCTAAACTGACACTGAAAGTGCACTGTACACGGAGCAATTCATGACCAGCTGTAACACTGTTCTCTCTCCTGCCTCCTGATGACTACAAACTCTTCTGTCAACCAGAGCCATTCTTACCACATGTCCTGAGTCACCCTAGGACATGTTCATTGACTTTTAGAGAAAGGGAGTGAGAGAGGAAGGCAGATAGAAAGAAAGAGAGAAAGAGGAAGAAAGAGAGAGAGAGAGAGAAAAACAACAACAACACATCAATCCATCTCCTGCATCCACCTTGCCAAGGCCAGGGATCAAACCTGCAACCTAGGTATGTGCCTTGACCAGGAATCGAACTCTCGACCTTTTGGTGTTCAGGACAACGTTCTAACTAACTGAGCCTATCAGCCAGGGCCTTTTTTTTTTTTTTTTTTTAACCACTTTTAACCACTACAAAGAGATCAAACCATCTTTTCTTTGATGATCAAGTTGAAAATTAACGCACACATGTTCAATCTCCCTTGATGACAAAGGAGTTTTTCACACCCTCTATTCTCAGCACCTTAAATAGTGTTCTACATACAGCTAATGCTCAGTGGGTCAGAAGACTGCAGCGTTTGAATTAATTAAATACTTAATTTAGTTGGCAAGCATTTATTGAATGCCTTTTATATACAAATCTTCCTTACTTTTCCACCTGAAAGGGTAGAGCTGATGAGCCACTATCTCTCAGAAAAATGTTTGATAGTTCCAGATCATAGAATAAATAGAAAGAAGTTCATTCAGTAAGTCCTCGGCCTAAAAAATGCCTAAGTAACAATCAAAAGCCCACACAGCATCTTCCAGAGCGTCAGAGAGTTCGTTACATTATCGGAAATGGCCATGCTCACCACTACACTGCCAACACGCCTCCACCACGCTTGTGAATTGTTAGTCATTATTACTTGATGCTCATTCTAGAGACACAGAAACTACAGAGGTACATTCTGAAACACTTGGGGAAATTTACTACAAGTGTGGACACAGCAAAGAGAGTTAAACATCGCAAATTGGGAACTGATTTGTTCTGATGTCAGGCTTAGAAATCTAAGACCTCTTTAGAAAACAAACATCTCCATAAACACACACACACACACACACCCAAAAACCCACCTCATTTGGCGGAATATAATATGCAGAACACGAAAAGTCGTATGTCCTATATCATGTGCAGAAAATGATCTTATAGAAACCAAAGGGCAGGGACAATGGTGTTCTACAAAATCAAACGAGAAAGCCAACAGGCCACTTTCAAACAGGCTCAAAACAAGTAATCCGTCTAAAACAAAAAAGTCTGTTAACAAATTCCTCCAAAATTGCGCTCAGCTTAGGGACAAAAACATTGTAATGCATCTGACACTGGAACCACACACATACTCAGCACAAAGGCAACTGCCCCAAGGCAGCTTTGAAATGCTGCCCTCCCTAAAAATGGCCTAAGTTCTAATCATCTGTCTCTATCTGATCAGAAAAAACGTTTCTACCATGTCAACCACGACCTCTCTGCATCAGCCCAGTCAAACCAGGCAATTTTCACCCCGCTCATTCCCTCAAGTTAACTGCTTCCTCTTCAGGTTTCTGTGTTAGAAAAAGAGATTCCCTGTCTAGTTACAGACTCTGTGGCAAGGCACAGGATCCACTGTCATTTCCAGTTGGTCTCCTCATCAGTCTGCTTCAGACTCCACCTAAAAGGATGACACTCAGACCCTGAGCTCCAGCTTCAATGAGCTGTTGAGTACCTGCAGACTCCCACCCTGGTGCCTGGCTTACGTTGGGGGTGAAGGTGCGAGATAAAAGCTCCTCTCGCTGTCTCTCTTGCTGCTCCCTTGCGTATCGCCGATGCTGGAAGTTTCTAAGAGCAGTCTGCAGGTGCTGGACATCATACTTTAACTGGTCAACACGACTGGAATTGAGAAAGAGAGATAGATGTTACATCCCAGGAACCCAGAGTGGCACAATTTGAGATCACCAGGCTTTGTATTCAGGAAAGAAGACTTTCCTTACTTCTTCCTATGCCACTCCATGCCACCCTCCCACCCCAAAGAATCTGATTCTGATCAATTATGTTGAAAATAAAGAAGTAGCTTGTGGTTAAAGTAGGGTTGTAGCACACGAGATTCCAGCAGCTTTACTTAAATACCTGCTGGTCTCTGATTCTGAATGCATGACAGAGAACAGGTGACAGGAAACAGGCTCAGTGACCTCTTCCTGACCTTCTATGGATTATATCACTCTCCTGGAAGAAGCCCAAGGGCATCTTTGGCGTAAAGCATCCGCAAAGTTTCATAAAACTTTTGGGAGCAGGGGCTGGGGTGTAAGCGGTGAGGGTGGTTTCATTTTAATTTCATGGGGGGACTATCAAACATTAGATCGGTATTTCATTATAATTAGACTGATTGAAATGATTAAGAGCAAGATTCATTTCAACCCAAGAATGTAGTGGGAGCCAAAGGGTAGAGTAAACTCACTTAGGCTTCAAGCGGCCACAGGTTTGGACAGAAAAACAGTTCTGGAGGCAAATTTTCAAAATGACACCAATGAGGTAAGGAGACACAAAACTTCTAAGCCACTAAATCACGGGATTTTTATTTTGAGAGAATAAAATTGTACCCTTTACAGGGACTTTATCTTCGCACAGTCTCAGTTTTTCAATGTGTAAATGAATTTTCAGAGCATTCAATAGCCCCCTGTGGAGAAAGACCTGTCATAGAGCACTCACAGTTTGGCATTCTGTCTTTTATTGGGGGGCTCCTTGCTGGACAAAATCTCCAGGCGTTCTAGCTGGCTGAATATCTGGTCTATGTTCGCTTGGATTTCATTTTCTACTACTGCACAAAAGAGAAAAAAGAATAATTGCTGGAAAAGAGATAGTGAACTTAAATTAGAATGGTAAATCAAACATACCTTTTTCCACACCCAATAGACTCAAAATATGTATTTCAAAAAGGAGAAAAATACATATGCTATTGAATAACAGAAAAAGTTCAAGTTATACTAAGTGACTCTGTAAATGCTGTTTCAAATATGTATATATAGCTGTTAATGATATAACAATGCCAATTTTTAAGAGGGTAAATCTGTAGAAATAAATTTCCTGCTGTTAGAAAATAAAATGGACATGTAAATGTTATCCAAAAAGTTTTTAAGCAAGTCAGTATTTTCTGATACAGCATGAGGTCTCTTTTCCTTTGAGATTATTCTCAGATATAGATTATAAATGTCTAGAAAAAAGACTGCCCATTGAATTCCCTATAGTAATAAGGTTAAAAAAACACACACAAAAAACAACACACACACACACACACAAAGAAGAAGATTAGTAATCGAAACAGAAGAGTTCCCTTAAGGCTTTCCATAAGAATGGGTGGGCTGAAGTTGGAATCCCCAAAATAGACTAAGTATCAGTAGGAAAGGCCCAGGAAAGGATCCATAGCAGTACAGATATGATAAACACAGTCGTCTTCCTTATCCCTTGTGATAAACCGTCAAAATGACCTCTTTCCATTTCTAATCAGGTAACAATGAGATTATTGGGAAGGCAAACAAAGGCAATGGACAGAAACTAAACTGTGCACAAAAGCAGATTGCTTTTTGCCCCATAAATAAGTGACAGCAACGTCACCTTTGTAAGTTAGCTAACAAATACAGGTTGGAACAAAGTGGGGCACGGAACCACGAGAAGAGATGCTCTGAAGCTGTGGAAAGGAGACAGAGAAACGGGCATGCGGACAGCCAAGCAGCGAGGTGAGAAGGCAGCTTCTGCAGTGTGAGGGGAGCCAGCAGTGTCTGCATGACCGACTCAGAAAAAGGACCTTTTCTAATGATAGAAAAGACACTAAAAACCACAAAGCAGCCCTCTACTCCAAAGAAATCACGGTGTGGGAACTAAATTAATTAATATTGCTATCCATTTCCGAACAGGCCTTCTAAAAAGCCACAGTTCTCACTCAGAAGAAATGACCAAGGCCAGTTACACACGTCCGACTTTTTAGGGAGCACATTCCTCTAAGGACTAGGTAATGAGATTAAGACAGATGGAGGAAAGACTTCCACTCGCACAGGGCCATGTCAGGTTGAGTGGAGGGGTAATGGGGGATGCGACTTGGGGGATTCCAAAGGGCACAATCAGGGAAATCAGTGACTGTGCCACAGGGTTTTCTGCACCTTAACAACAGAACTCATTCCACGCTGAATCATTAGGCCCCTGAGGCAGAAAGGCAGTCAGGAAACCCAGCCCATTAGCACCGTGTCATCAGAGAAAGGACTCTGGTCTCCATAGCTAATTACTCACAGTGCACAGACTGCTTGTCTGCTGTCTCCAGGCGTCCCATGTGAGACTGGATCTGGTGGACCTGCCTATCAAAGGAAAAGGGAGGAAATGGGTGAGACAGGAGTAATCAACAGCACTTCAGTCAGGAAAGTCAATTTTTCTGATGCCAACATGTAACTGATTTAAATTGACAGCATCACTGAACTGTAAAATTTGTATATGGCACTTGAGGCCACATGTTTTGACATGGTTTAGAATATCTTAACAACAACAACAATAATAATAATAATAATAATAATACTGACAGGCAGCGTTTATTGAGTGCTTCCCCCATCGGAGACATTCTGCAAAGTCAATACCCTATGAGGAAAGTATTATTATTCTTATTTTATAAACAAGACAACTGAAGTCCAGAAAGGTTATGTAACTTGTTCAAGGTCACATAGCAAGTGATAAACCTCGATCTGGACCCAGCCAATCCCACTCTCTGTTGTTTGACCCAATGTGCTGAGCACTGGTCTGTACTGGGCAGAGTCAAAGGGTGAGAGAGATAATCCTTGTTCTTGAGAAACAGTGTAATTAGGAATGACAGGCTAGATAGAAAGAAAAGTCCCAAGAAGATTTAAGAGAAAACTAACACATGTAAGTGTAAACAAACAGAAAGCTAAGCACAGTGGTGCCACGCAAAGGCAAGTGAATGAAAGGGCCAGGGCTGAGCCAGAGTAAGCTGGAGTTTTGTGGGTGAAGGGAGTACTGAATATCATTTTGAAGGAAGATGTGATTTAGTGAAGAAAGATATAAAGAAAATGATATGCAAAAAGGCATGCAAATCATGTCATGGGGATTAAAAGGAGGCCAGCCTGTCCAGAAGAGTCAGGGTCAGAGGGAAAGGGTGGATGAGGTGATTAGCTGGACCATCAGAGGAAGGCCCTCAATGAAAGGATCTCCTACTTGGTAGACATCTTTCCCAGGCAATATGAGGCCACTGCCATCTCATCTGGAAATGACACTACACCTTGGACCTCTGGCATGGTCCCAGACATAAGGCTCCAGAGCACCCTGAAGGCTCCCCAAAGCTTGGCCAAGGTCACCCTCAGAACCTTTCCTAGTGGTCCCTGGGATTAGTCCTTGGAATTGCTTATGCTCCCCCCAACAACCACCTCTTGGTGCTTAGAGTCTCCCCATGTTAGAGCCATGTGAAAGGGACCTGCTGAGCTCTTATATCATCCCCAACTCGAGGGAAAGGTCACCAACCATCTTCCACCATAAGTACCACAAACTGTGACTGCAAATGTATCAGTGTGGGCCAGGAGCCCAAATCTGGTTTCTCTAAGTCTTTTTCTGGGCTTTCCTGTGGCCTCTAAGCATAACCTATGGCCCCAGAAGCAAGGACAGCCTTTTAATGACTCCCAGAGTGATCCTGGGCAAGACTCATGCCCCCTAGAAACCACTAACAGAATCTGAAAGACCAGACTGCTACGTCAGCAGGTAAGTCCAGAACAGGGCACATGGAGATGTGGAGGCAAAGGTAGAACACAGCTAGAGGTAATGAACATCCAGAACAGGGCAACTGTGGAAACAGCTATTGAGGACTGGACGGTAATGCCGATCAAAGGGAGAATTAGAACTTTACTGAAGTCCTGGATGTATGCAGTGGGTAAATTTTCAATGGCAGCTTAACAGAGTAAATCTGAAAATTGGTGGCATTACTGACAGGAACAGAAATTAAATGAAAAAATGGAGTGGGGAGAAAAATAGCCAAGACACTCTGAATAGGTATGAAAGGAATGACCTATCCCATCTACTATTAAGACTTATTACAAAGACATACTAATGAAAACAATATGGTAACATGCAGGGAGAGACAGACAAAAATAGACAAACCCCAACTCTGATGCAAGAGGAAAGAATAAAGGCCAGAAACAGTCCTACATATTTGGGGACTTGGTGACATACCAGTTGATAAGTGGGAAAACCATTAACTAAAAAAAAATTTTCTTTTTTACAACGAAGGCACCATAAAATATAAAAAGACAAGCAGAGACTGGAAGATATCTTCACAGATAACCAAGAACTAATGTTGGGAATATATAACAAACAGCTACAAATCAATAGGAAAAGTCAAACAAAGCAATTTTTAAAAAAATAGCAAAGAGCAACTGACAAAAAAACACCTAAATGCTCAATAAACATATGAAGAGATATTCAACTTTATTAGTATTCAGGAAAGTGCAAATTAAAAATAAAAGCAGGTCCTTGCCGAGACCGGTTTGGCTCAATGGATAGAGCGTCGGCTTGGGGACTGAAGGGTCCCGGGTTCGATTCCGGTCAAGGGCATGTACCTTGGTTGCAGGCATATCCCCAGTAGGGGGTGTGCAAGAGGCAGCTGATAGATGACTCTCTCTCATCGACGTTTCTAGCTCTCTATCTCTCTCCCTTCCTCTCTGTACAAAAATAATAAAATATATATTAAAAAAATAAAATAAAATAAAATAAAAATAAAAATAAAAATAAAAGCAGGTCCGTTTCACATGCCTGGCTGGCTCAGGAGTTGAATGTTGACCCTTGAGCCGGGAGGTCACGGTTCGATTCCCATTCGGATGACCAGGTTGCAGGCTCTATCCCCAGTGGGAGGCATGCAGGAGGAAGCCGATCAATGATTCTCTCTCAACACTGATGTTTCTATCACTCTCTCCCTCTTCCTTCCTCTCTTAAATCAATAAAAATATTAAAAAAATAAAAATAAAAATAAGGAGATATCACATTTCTTCTGAGTGGCAAATATTTTAAAGTGTGATAACACACATTGATATAAGGATGTGAGGAAACTAGAACTCTCATACGTGGCCAATAGGATTATAAACCGGTAGAAACCCTTTTAGTAGGTGTCCCCCCCCCCCCAATATATTTTATTGGTTTTTTTACAGAGAGGAAGAGGGAGGGATAGAGTTAGAAACATCGATGAGAGAGAAACATTGGATCAGCTGCCTCTTGCACAGCCCCTACTGGGGATGTGCCCGCAACCAAGGTACATGCTCTTGACCAGAATCGAACCTGGGACCTTTCAGTCCGCAGGTCAACGCTCTATCCACTGAGCTAAACCGGTTTCGGCTTTAGTAGGTTTTTGATAAAAACTGGTAGAGTTAGCCCTATCCGATTTGGCTCAGTGGATAGAGCATCAGTCTACGGACGGAAGGGTCCCAGGTTCTATTCAAGGGCATGTACCTTGGTTGAGGGCACATCCCCAGTAGGGGGTTGTGCAGGAGACAGCTAAGGGATGTTTCTAACTCCATCCCACCCCCTTCCTCTCTGTAAAAAATCAATAAAGTATATTTAAAAAATAAAGACATATTTCTAAAAACAAACAAACAAACAAACAAAAACCTCACACACACCAAAAAATAAACAAACAAAAACTGGTAGAGTGAAATATGTGTGTATCCAATGAGCCAGCATTCCACTTCTAGGACTAGGTCCCTGAAAGGAAGAGAATGTGTGGGATTCAGTTCTACTCTGTTTTTAAATACCTGCAGCATATGTATTAAATATGAGGCCTAACGCATGTTATATTATTCTCTATTTTTATGTTTGAAATATTTCATACATAAAATAACTAATTTTTTTTTCCTGATGAGATTATCGGGAAGGTAATTTCGGGTGTTGAATCAATGGTTTAACAAGGATCAGTTATTTACTCACTCAACAAATAAGTGGGATAGACAATCACAATGGTCCATGGGAAATAAAACCACAGGTGTGCCTACAGTGGAAAGGAGTAATATGCTGAGGATACCACAGTACGTTTATGTTTATTTCAAGAGATATTTGATAGCCTCTCAAGATATCTTGTAGTAAATTTGGTTTAATAATATAGGTTGAGGGATTGATTTCCAGTGTTCTACCATAGCACTGCCTTTGGTTCTATATAGTTCAATATTGAAGAAAAAAAAAATCAACTTATGTTTATAAAATCTGCACATGATTTGTGATAGAATGAGGGGTTAAGATGTGACAAGATAAACATTAACATTTTCCATTTACGATAAAATGGGGATTAAAAAGTATCCTGTCTTCAGATGTTTAAAAAAAAAAAAAAGTCAAATGCACACTATAAAGTGGCATTCTATTCTGGGAGCCAACTGTTAAAGAAACCCTATCAATTAAAGGTTTACCCCAATGGGAGATGAACAGGATGACTAAGGGAGTGTTTAGGAATCAAGCCATGAAGACAAACTATCAAAAGGGTCTTCCTGACTGGAGTGAAATGAAATGGAAGATCTTGCCAGTCACTTTCAATTCTTAAATTCTATGAGGACAGCAGGAGAGAGATGAGGCCAATACCCACAAAACATCTTCAGCTGGCTTTTACTATTTCCCAAGCTAAAAAGGATCAACTTTAATAAGTTGCAGGGAAACATTACTGACTTTTCCCATCCAATCTCTTCTTGCTTCGAATGAACTAGAAAAAATATGGCCAATAAAGTGATTCCAATCTCTATATTTCATGCCTGAGAGGGAATATATGCAAAACAACAAAGCAAGTATGCATGGTGGGGTGGGAACTACTATGTGCCAAGTGGAAAATCTGTTTTAAACTGAACTGGGCATTCGGACAACACACTTGAAGCCAGCAAGAAACAGATACACTAATAAGACCTGGGAGTGTGGACATTAGAAATCAGAAGTCCTAGATGAGCCTAGCATGGAGTCCGTGGTGGGCTTGGGTGGTAACATAACTAAGCAGAGACCTAGGAGCACGTAGGCAAGGGTCACTGTTGCTAATATTTTTTAAAGGGTCAGTAGAAAATCTGGGAAGCACTTTAAAACACAATTGCTTTTTAAAAGTCTATCCATGCTGCCTCTGACTGTCATATGGAAAGATCTGGGTTGAAGTTCTAGTTCCACTATGTACTAGCTAAGGTACACTGAACAAGTAATTTAACCCTTTAATGCCTCCGCTTCCTCAACTGTTAAAATAGAGATACTAACAGTAATTATTTAAAGGGTGGTAGATCCAAATGCAATATGAAAATGCTCTGTACCCCATATAGCATCATACAAGTTTGTTGTTTTAACCTTACTTATAAGTAGTAAAACCATCTGGTCATTTTCACTTCACCCACTTTGCCTCTACTATACAGTATTTAGAAGGCAAAATTAAATACGGAAAAACTGGTCTTGACATAAGGTAAAGTTCTTAAGTGCAACTGCTCATAAAAATCATCTGGAGAGCTTGTTAAAAACAAAACAACAAAACAGAGCTTCTTGTACTCCAGACCAACTGAATCAGAATCTCTAGGACTACAAGTGGGGCACCTTTACAACACCGGGGTCTCAAAAACAGTAGCCTGCCTACTGGCTCCTCTCTAAAGTTCATTCTAATGCACTAAGTATAAAATGTTTATTCCACTTTTCATTTTTCCCTCCATTCACTGTTCAGGCAGTTCAGGAGTTTGTAAGATACGTTAACTTCAAAATGTTTATCTAATTCCAATGTTCTGTACATTGGAATTAGATAAACATTTTAAAGCTATGTATCATGTGAGAGATAATCACAAACTGGGTTCAAACTTCAAGTAAAATTAATATGTTCAGTTAAGGTTGTGTCAATTCAGCTACAATTATTAATTTCTGACACTCCCAGGACTTGGTGTGTTTCCTGTGTTTTAAATCCTCACTCAAGGATATCTTTCTATTGATTTTTAGAGAGAATGGAAGAGAGAGGGAAAGACAGAGTTGTTAAAATAGGATTGGAATAGATATATACTAAAAAAAATAATAATAATTGAAAACAGGGACTTAGATTTACACCAATGTTCATATTAGCATTATTCATAATAGAAACCCAAGTATCCATCTGCAGATGAATGGATAACAAAATCTGGTTGGTGTTCACACAAGAATTATTATTCAACCATAAAAGAAATGATATTCTGATACATGGCACAAATAGATGAGCTTTGAAAACATGTTAAGTGAAATAAGCCAGATACAAAAGGACATATACTGTATGGTTACACTTATATAACTAGAATAGGTAAATTCAGAAACAGGAAGTAGAACAGAGGTTACCAGGAGCTTAGGGAAGGGAGATTGGGAAGGTATTGCTTAATGGGTACATCAGGTTTCTGTTTGTGCTGATGAAAAAGTTCTGGAAATGAATAGCAGTGATGGTTACACTAATGTACTTAATGTCACTGACTTGTACAGTCAGAAATGGTGCAGGTGGTAAACTTTATGTTCTGTGTATTTTACCACAATAAAAACAAAATAAATCATAGAAGTTCTTTCCAAATAACAGATAGGTATGATTCCTATTACCATACTCAACTACATGTCTCAGCAAATTCCAAAAGTGCAGGACAATATTCATAAAGGACTACCAAGGAATTTAAATTATGAGAAGCCACATCAAAACTTGATCTTCTTAATGGTAATCTGTAACTAGGTGTGTAATGCTGAATGCTACTTGTACAGCAATTTCTTTGTGCCATAAAAACATGGTCTTTATTATAAACCAAATCAGAAAAAAATAAAGGGGAAAAATCATAATGTAGCAACAAGTTTGGGGTCAATCAAGAATGGAGGCTGACATCATTTAGGAGCTGCGAGCTACAATGAAACTTTTTGACATTCGCCCACTGATGGATCCTTCTAAATTGCTCAAGCTAATCCTGTCTGTACTGACTTTCTTTACCCTCCATCCAATCCTGCCGCAGAACTCTTAACCCGGAGCACTGAGTTGGCAGGTGCGAGACAAACTATTAGAACCGGTAGATGCAACTTTGGCTTCACTTAGGGTAGTCACGGCCTCGAAGATCCCGGGAGCCATCCGGCACATCTTTTCGGGCCCCACGCCAGACCCTCCATTCGCCGTGGACCTGGGCATCCCGCCAGGAACTGACCACCTCCGAGCTGCCTCCAGCAGTGCCCGGGCGGAAAGACTGGGCCTCCACAATGGCCAAAGCCCCAGGCCCCAGCTAAGGAGGCCGGTCTCACCGAGCCTGCTTTTGCCCCGCCCGTGCCCCGACGCGACCCTCACTTGTGCGTTTGCTGGTACAGCGGTTCCATGTCGCCGGCCCAGCCGGGTCCGGCTGCGGCTTCCTCCGAACACGTCTTCACAGCCCTCCTTCCGGCTTTCGGCTTCCGGTCTCAGGACCCTCTCTCCTCTCTACTGGCTAGGGCTGCCCCCCCAATACGCCTTACTGGTGGTGATTACGAGAGTAGGAAGGGAAACGAGGAAATAGGCCGGGAGAAGAAGGATAACTGTCGTTAAAAGTGCGGCCTCAGATGCAGGACTAGGAGGTATAGGTTTTGGCCGGAGGCTGTCTTCAGCATTGGGTCAGGCAGTAGCGAAGGCAGCCTCAGAATTCTGACGTGAGGTCCTCAGAGCCAGGTTGGCGGCGAATGGGCGGTTACCTGCTCTTCCTCGCTGCTGTCTGGCTGGGCTTCGTGTTAAACTGCTTGACTGTGGGTCTGCAGATGCGCTCTCCCCTGGAGAATCTGGCACAAGCTGCTCCTATCTCAAATTTGTGTGCTCACTTGCCCACGCACCTACCCCCACCCCCTCCACGCGCACACTGTTTAGTCCAATAAACCCACATTGAATGCATGTTTCCTATGTGTTAATGTTAATGTGTGCTGTGGGAGAAGCTAGGTTCCGCCTGTCCTCAAAGAGGTCGAAATCTAGGAAAGAAAATAAGATAGGTATACGAATAAACGTCTACAAAATAAAAAGTCCAAATGTTCTGAGCCGAGCTTGGCAACACCAACAGCGCCGGTAGGAGATTCAGGGAAGACAATGTAGGAGGTGGCATTTGAATTCGGACTTGAAGGATCTGGACACTTTGGCCCCGCCACAACCGCCTAACCCATTTCCATCCCCATTAGGCTTATCTGCGGTTCCTCCCAAGGGAGGAGACGTTCCTCTTCCTTTGAGAAGTTGATGCTACTATTTTCCTGTATCCTGGATCCCACCCAGTTTTGTGTCTCAAGAGACTGTCTATCGTGTACATTCTTTCCCTAACGTTATTTTTCCATTCTAGTACTTATTAATGAGTACCTACTATTACAAGGCACAGATGTTAAGGGTAGGAATACAAGAAAAACAGCCCTCACATCTCTCACCTCTCATTGTTGGGAGGACTATTCACACCCTCAAGTTATATTATCAAGTAGAGTACTAGTAAATGCTACAAAATAGAAAGAACCATTTCTCTGGAGAAGAGCAAGTGTACATGGACTTTTAAAAATCGTGAGTAGGGCTCAGCTGGCAGTGACAGATCTCAATGGTTGAGATCGACTTAAGAACCAGGAGGTCACAGTTTGATTCCTGGTCAGGGCACATGCCTGGGTTGCAGGCTCAATCCCCAGTGTGGGGTGTGAAGGAGGCAGCCTATCAGTGATTCTTTCTCATCAAGGATGTTTCTATCCCTCCCTCCCTCTCCCTTCCTCTCTGTAATCAATAAAAATATGTTTTGAAAAAAACATGAATAGGACCTTCAAGAATCAATAGAATTTTAAGTGTCTTGCACACACTGCCACTCTGTATGTTTATTGTTTTGGCCTGGTGGTGATTAAGGGGAGGGCATTGAGCACAGGCAAATGGGGAAAAGAACATAGATCTTTTGTGGCTGAGTTTAGGGTGTTTGGGGCAATAATAGAATTAGAAGAAAAGTTGGAGGTGGATCATAGGGGATCTTAAATGTTATGCTTAGGTTTTTATAGAGTTTTATTCTATAGGTAGTTGGAAGCTATCAGAGGTTGGATAGAAATTTTAAATATTCTCAAAGAATGTTTATCCCTATACCTTGTTCTTCTTTGGACCATACCATATCCCTTGATGTAGTCTGCCAGGCCTGAGAAGTAGACTACATCCCAGGGATATGGTAAAGTTCGTAGTCAGCCTGCTTGTTCCCTGGATGGTCTGATAAACTGGGAACACATCCCCCTGAAGAGTCTTTTGGGTCTGTCCAATTTGATGAAATAATTTGGATTTCTGAAACTACATTCATCTGTGTCTCTCTGGCCATTGCGTGCAAATTGAACGGACTAATTATCTTAAACCATCTACCAACCCATCAATGTTCCCTGTACTTCCCCAGCCCTGGCTCCATCCCCTCTCACATATCTTCTGTTCCTGTTTCCTCCTAACTAACCCCCCTTTGCCCCTATTGTCTATGCCACCTGTGCCAGTGCTCAGGCACCACCTCGAACAATTGGTGCCAGCTTCAAATAATCTCACTTCCTCTACTAAACCGTGAGAGTCTATTGAACAGTCCTCATCATTCCTCAACCACTCCCTTCCCTTTCCAATCCTCCTCCCCAAGATCTTGTTGCCCCAAGATCTTTCTAACAGAGATTTGATGTCATATACACGTCAAGACTTTTAATAGCTCCCTGGTGCCTAAGAAACACACTTGGCAGCCCTCCTTACCGGCCACATCCCTGGCCATTTCCCCTGTCCTAACTAGAGGAATTCTCATAAGGGCCTCTGCGTCTTCTGGCCTTTGCACGCACTGTTCCCTGTGCTTCAAGCACGCTCTCCTCTGCCTCAAGCCTGATTAACCCCCACTTTCTGGAGTCTCAGCTTTGGTCTCAGCTCCCTTGGGATGCACCCCTGACAACCAGGCAGGGTTGAAATTCCTCCCCCTTGCTCCTCTGGCACCTGGTGCTCCCTCTCAGCATTTGTTTCACAATTCCTCTGTCCACTAACTGGAAGGCAGGAGGTGTCTCTTTCATTCTTGCATTTCCCCAGCATCTAACTCAGTGACTCATACGAGGTAGGTGCTTGTTACATATCTGTTGACTTGAAATGCACTCTATTTAATCAACTCACCCTCTTAAATAGTCTACCTTTCTGCCATGTCAGAAGCCCAGAATTACTTGAAAGTTGACTTTTAGGCAGTTATAGACTGATCAGGGGAGCCATTCTTCTGCTGAGTCGTCGCTTGAAATCAGTGCAGAGTGCTAAACGAAACACTCCCCCTTTTAAGCACTTTCACAACTGTTTCACATTCTGGGCTCATCACCACCTAGTGGGAGGCAGGACAAGGCATCACCATCGTGGTTTGGTGGACAAACATGCTGAGCTTCAGAGAAATTAACTTGCTTTCCCACGCTGGCCGTGAGAGAGGGGGCCTAGACCCAGGGTGCAGTCACACACCACCCTTTAGGTCACTACAGCATCATCCTTCCTCTTAGACTATGGTGACCAGACGTCCCGCTTTTGGCGGGGCAGTCCCGATTTTTAACAAATTTTCTTTCCAAAAATCGGGACTGTCCTGCCAAAAGTGGGACGTCTGGTCACCTTATCTTAGACCCAAAGAGGGCCTTGCCACAGGTAAGTAATACACCTCTGACGGCTTCCACTTTGAACAGCAACGAAACCCTAGTCGCCCCACCAAAGCCAGAGAAACATAATCTCACTGCCTCTGGGTGTGCTCCCCAACCCCTCCGATTAAATCTGAGCAGACAGAAAGGATGACATTTCTGAACTCAGAGGCTGCCATGAGCTGAGGAAAACAAGCCTCTGTGGCCCCTGCCGGGACCCACCAGGTGGAGGAGATATTGCCCGGGGTGCTGCAGGAGGTCTCCCAGGAAGCTGCCCTCCTCGGAGAGTCCATCAGCAAATTGTCTCATGTAGCCATAACAGCCAGGAGCAAGGTGCGGGGAGCAGGGTTTTGTCCAAAAAGAGTCAGTGTATTGTAAACATGATAAAAGGGGCTGGAAAGCCCCACTTATCACGGACTAATGTGTCCCCAGGTCATGGGGAGCCGGACCCCCACCAGCAGCCCTGAGCAAGGAAAGAGAATTCCCAATTAACCCCATCACCTGTGAGCGGGGCCAGGGCAAAGGTCCGGCTCTTCCTCTTGCTAAGTGATTCCCATGGTCCTTAGGCACCAGGAGGGGCTCAGCGCGGACAGGTTCGAGGAAGCCCTCTGCCAGGCTGCAGAAATGCCTCCGAGCCCCCTGCTTCCTAGGGCCACACGGGTCAGGGTGGGCGTGTGAGCATCCTTGGAAAGTGAGGAGGCCTGAGGAAAGCGGAGGTAGCATGAGGCTGGGGCAACTGTATAAGGAAAGGTTGCTCCTGGTTAATCATGGAGCAATGGGTTGGCTTCATTTAGACTGGAGGGACAGAATAAGGAATTAGTCTCTTTGGGCTCTTAATTCTAACGATCTCATTCATTTCTTACAATCCCCTTGAGTGTGGGTATCTTAACTTATAGAGGAGAAAACTGAAGCCCAAAGTTACCGTATTTTTCGGACCATAAGACGCACCGGACCATAAGACGCACCAGTTTTTAGAGAAGGGAAATGAAGAAAAAAAGATTCTGAAACAAATAGTGTCCTAAAATATTTTATGTGCATTAAAACCCAACATCACAGTCATAAACACATGTAATCAACCCTGTAAACTTTACAGTGTAAAGTAAACAGCAGCATTTAGAACCATTTTAGAGCCGGGCAAGCACATAGAGACCAACAGAGCCGGGCAAGTAAAAAAACTTTTTTTAAAAAGTATATGTGTAGGCTATATTTGGACCATAAGACGCAGGGACTTTTCCCCCCCACTTCTGGGGGGGAAAAAAGTGTGTCTTATGGTCTGAAAAATACAGTACGTGGTGGGTGAGTGGCTAGCTGAGACCTGAACTCAGTCAGGCCTTGCTGACTCCCAGCTGGGCATTTCAGTGTCAGTGGGACCAGATGAGTATTTAAGTCTGAAACTTTTTAAAAATATATATTTTATGATTTTTCACAGAGAGGAGGAAGGGAGAGAGATAGAGAGCTAGAATCGTCGATGAGAGAGAAACATCGACCAGCTGCCTCTTGCACACCCCCTACTGGGGATGTGCCCGCAACCAATGTACATGCCCTTGACCGGAATCGAACCCGGGACCTTTCAGTCCGCAGACCGACGCTCTACCACTGAGCCAAACCGGTTTTGGCTAAGTCTGAAACTTTTAAGGGATGTTGGGCATCTTTGAAATATACTTCACCCCCTCAATCCCACCCCCCTGGGGGCCTTCCTTGGTGGTCTCTGTCTCCTCCTTTTGGATCCCTATTTTGCTGGACCATTGAGGCATGGGACAGTAGACAGAGTTCAGGATCTGATACACAGAGTCTGAGTGTGACTCTCCAACTCGGTCCTCTTGACCAAATCAATTCATTCCTCTGAGCCTCAGT